TAAAGCTTCTAGGTTCCTTTTTTTTTTTCTTCTAATAAAATTTAGAATTATTAAAAGGGGAATTTTAAAATCAAAATTGGAACATATAGATAAATAGGGAGGTGTTTACAAATCAGTAATTAATCTCTTCAGATAGGACAGGAGTCCAAGTTGAGGAAAGAAATAGATAAGAGTATATCAGGTGAAATCCTGGGTGCAGTGCTTGCAGTCAAACTATATTCATTGAGAGTACCTGGTCAGCCAAAGTTGATGTTTAGCTCATCCAACCTTGAGTGTAAGTTATAATATAGCATTTTTATGCTGACAGAAGAAACAAGTCACTGGGATGCTAAAACATTTTTATGCATTAAAGTGAGTATAGACATTTCTGACTAAATAGTTAGAGTGAAGGAAATCTTGAAGAGACAAGGTAAGTATTGAAACTGCTCTTTTTTTTTTAGGATGTTAGGTCTGAGTAGAAGTAGTATAATATAATTGCAGTATTTTCAATCACATAGGTACTTCAGTCATGTTAAGAGAGATGAGGCTGCAAAGAGGCACTCTTGAAAATTATCTTAGTTATACATACGCTTTGTTGTTACGAGTTTTGAGCAGCTAGTCAGAATTCAGTAGAAGAGAAGCAGCTTTGATCTATTCCTGGGTAATATACGAAAGCTGGTTCTCAAGATGTATAATGGTGATGATGCAAATAGTTCATCCTTTGTTTAACTTACAGAGATGTAATTAAGGTCATATATAGTAAGCAAACAGATGAACTAAAAACTATAAAGGAAGTTAGATATTCAAAGAAAATGTGCACCAAATTAAAAAAACCCAAAACCAACACTCAGAGAATCTTAAAAAGTGAGAAGTAAAGCAGTAAAGTATGTTTCTGACAAAAATTGGTAGATCTCCCATATATGGGAATGTGAAAGTCTTAAATTATATGTTAAATCTAAACTGGTTATGAGATTGAGTAACAAGGCTTTTGAAGATCAAATGCGTAAAAGAAACAGAAATTATTTATTTTAAAGAAGCAGAAAACCTAGAATCATGTATGTAATTAAATAATGATAAAGATATAAGTATGTAAGGCAGCTCAGGAAAACCTAGTTGGAATGTGAGACCATAACAGGTGAAGGAAGTTTTGCTTTCTGAGGACTGGAGGATAGCAAAGTAAGGTTTCAGTTAAAAACATTTTTGAAGTAGCCATTTTCTCTATTGTATAGAATGATTAAAACCCAGGAAGACTAGAATGAGCTCCTTTGAAGCAAACAGGTAACTAGGTAAACTTTAGGAGGAAGTAACATGGTTGTGTAGGAAAAGCCTGTATGTTAAAATTCACAGGAATTTGAGTGTATAAGAAAGAACAGTGTGGTCTGTGTATATCACCTTCACTTTGTAAAGTGCTATTTTCTAAGCATTCTTTCTATCATATGATATTCTGATACAATAAAGGTAATCTTGTGGTTTAATATCCATTTTAAAAAGTTGATGAACAAATAAAAATAGATGATTATTCATCTAATGAAAGGAGTTGAATCTGATGCACCTCTTTGGTGAGGTGCATCAGATTCCTTAAAAAATTAAGTGAGTAGACTAAGGCAATTTGTCATACAAGAACCCTTAGCAGTTTTCTAAGCCTCTCTGACTGCCACAGGTTGCAGAAGGATCTGATTGTAATAAAAGGGAAATAAAATTATTTATTAAATCTGGTGTTAAAGTATGTGCAAAGGATAATCTTAACTAATCTTAAGTAATCTTAACTAATACTTCTTTGGTGACAATTTCTCAATTTGGTCATTACAGTACAGGAAGGTCTTCGAATTATTGTAGGCTACTTTACAAAAGTATCAGGTGAATAGTCTTTGAAACAGAGCATAAAATGCTTGAAAGCAAATAGAGAACCAATACTAGAACTTTGTTCTGTCTAGCTGCAGGTACTTCTCCTTGCCCTACCTTAGAAATTCTGCAGGAGAACTGCAGAAGCTAGCACATAAAGGAGTGAGACTAAGATAATCAAGGATCTGAAACTACATAGAGAACAAGTGAAATACACAATTTTCAGAAGTGATAAGAAAAAAATGTAGATATCTACTATCATCTGTTTTCAGTTTTATACTAAACAAAAGGTAGAGTTTTCAGCAATGGTCATAGTGATAGATGCTCTTACGTGATGAAAAAGGGATTTTGTCTACTAATTTCTTTTAACAGGAATAGGAATACTCATTTTCTGAAACTGTAAACTGCCAGTGCTTTATTTTACATGGATGTACAAGAAGTTAATGAAAAATGACAGGTCAGATGAATTTTGTCCTTTGGAAAAGAGATGAACAAAGCAGTGTGTGCCCCTAGAGGTGTTGCTCTTTTGCCACGTAGTGACTTTGAAGGCTGGATGGAACTTAAGCCTTATTTGTGTGGTCCAGTCTTCTTTGCTTTCCTTTGAATACGCCGAAGATTACATTCATTGTCTTTCTAAATATCAGCTGTGTATATTGCTGATGTAAAACTATTTTTTCATCACAACATAAATACACTGGGAACTAAAATATGAGGTGGGAAAAACCAACCACACCTTTCTGTGATGAGCTTAGTGTCTGATTAGTGAATTATGTGTGAACTTGTTTAATGCAAGTTGTACCTAATTTTGAACAGTACCTGTTGCCATGCTGTAGTTTATAACTTCTGGAATATAACCTTGGGGTGAGAGCCTGTTCCAGAATAATATTTTCCAGTTGCAACAGTGTAGGTATAACCTCTGCAATCTTCTTCCTCCTCTGGAGTGCATGTTAAAATAAATAAATGCTGAAGTTGGTGGGCTGGGGACAAGTCATGAGCTGCTTTTGTCTTCAAAATCACTGGGGTTTTTTGTTGTGGGTTTGTAAATTATTTTTTCCCCCTACTCATGTATGTTTTGTGGCTTTCTTTCTTCTGTTTTTAACCTGTAGGGATGCCTGCAGTCTGTAATCCAGGCATGGTCCCAGTGGCAATTCCACCTCCTGCGGTCAACCCTCAGCACCTGTATAATGAAGAGGACCTGAAAGCTATCCAGGACATGTTTCCCAACATGGACAGGGAAGTAATCCGCTCAGTGCTAGAAGCTCAGAGGGGGAACAAGGATGCAGCTATCAACTCCTTACTTCAGATGGCTGAAGAATCATAGATGCCCACTTCCTGTATAGTCCCTGTCCTCGATGCCACTTATTTTTACTTGCCAAGCCAGGGATTTAGCTAGAGGAAGAATTTCCCAACAGCTTTCTGTTAGTGCATCGTGTGTGACAGATTGTACCCCTTTTCTCCTTGGACAGTTGGATCTTCTTCTCTTTCTTTCTCAGTCTGTACGTACTCAGTTTAGCTTATGTCCTACCATAGAGCAGTGAAGCATCTTTACTATCAGCTGTGCCCTGTGTGGCTATATTCTGATGGGATTGGGAATAATGCTGCTTTGTTTCTTTCTCTCCCCCTTTTCATAAACTTGCTCTTACAAAGTAACTCTATGCAGTACAAGATTTACTAGTGTTTGTTAGATTGGAAAAAAAAAAAAACTTTCCATGGAAGGTTTGCTGTTAAATACAACTGATTTGTTAAAAGTATTTAGGTTTCAGCAAGCAGCCTATTTTTTCCCAAAAATTAAAGGAGAGACCCTTTCTTATCCTGTGGTGTTTAGTTATTACTGATATATTCACACATTTTAGATGGAAGATTTTTAATTTAATAAGCTAAATTTCTTAGGTTGTACTGTTGGTATTTGTAATGGGCATCTTATTCAATCTACTCATTGGGCACTAAAGCAATATATTACCTGGTGTGCGTTTGGGGCTTTGTCCTCCCACATAGTATTGTTATGTATATGTAAAATCTTAGGAGGTAACTTTTAACTTTTACAGTATGTATTGCTGTAGCAGAGAACAGGACTAAGCCCTAATGTACTCCTACAGTTAATTGCACTCTAACTATTACTTCTGCATTCACATGGCTATTTCAAAGGTTAAGTGCAGAAGTACAGATACTTATACCTGGAAAATGACTGAAGCCGTAAAAATTATTTGAGATGTTGTCTAACATTAAAAAAAGGAGGAATTTATGATCTGGTTATTAAGCTTCATTATTTATACCTATGTTCCAGCAAAGTTATTGCTTTACATTAGTGGGAAAATGATTGTATTTTTCCTGTAATGAGAAATAAGCATGAAAAGTAGCTTCAGGGTCTTAGAATGGCATTATGAATTGCTCAGTGACTTTTTAGACTACAGCTGCTGTAGTCAGTTTATTATTATTTGATGCAGATGGAAATAAAATTCTGTGTGAGAGACAATTTAACATATCTGAGTTACAGTCTGATCCTCAGAGGAGGTGTTTGTATTTATTGTTAGAGTAATTTTTTCAAGTAAGAGTTGATTTTGGAGCTGCAGAATCATACAGTTATGCACCAGTTACACCTGTCGGATGAATTTCTGTGATGTCTGTTCTTGTAAAGTAATGCACTTTAAATAGTCTGCACCAATTTATTTTTCCAGTGATGTGCAATGTTGCTGTTTGTCTCTTTAATGTTTGATTTCAAATACTTTCTACAATAGCCATAGACCTTTATATTTTCAAAGTTGAAATGAATGTATGCTTGAAATCTAGGCTCTTGAGTGATTCATGAGAACATTAAAGCCAGCTTTGGAATAGGGAATGATGACCCATATTGTCTTCTTCACCAAACTTTATTTTATGTACTATGCTTAAAATATTTTCTTTATTATCTGATGGAAAGCTGATTTTATCCCCCACAACCTACATTCAAGTAGTCTTTAGGTAGCACTGGCAGTAGAACATGAATATTTATTTTTTTAATAATTAAAAGTAATACTGAAACTTAAAATACAACACCAAAAGTCATCTCAGTTTCTGACCTTTTAAAGCCGTCTTTTCATAATGTACAGTTTTAAGTTATGTTATGAATCCCTTAACATCTTAAATTTCCCATTAAAAGCATAAGTGTCTTTGAACATCCTCCAGTTGGATTTTGAATAATGAAATTCAAGGCTATAGTTCTGTGTGCTGTAGTTGTAGAATTGCCTTACTTTTGTTTTCTAAAGTTAAATGGGTATTCTTCAATAAACTAGTCTTGCCCCTTCCCTACAGTCATGGTAAATTTTGTGATTGATCAGGTGTAGAGGCATTTGGTCTTTATAAAAGCAGAGTGTTTTGTGACATGATGACCCAAAAGGATGAATGTTGGTGAGGATTTAATGCTTAGATACCTCCAGGAAGAGTCCTGTGCTCTAACTTTTACATAGGTAGCATGAATTGCTAGGGACGGAACAATTCAGGGAAAATGTACATAATTTAAATTTTTATATTAAAATGGTGGGATTCATACACAGCTTTTCATAAAAGCAAGTGGTCATGGTTCAACTTAATGGCTGGTAAATTGTACTGCATCCTATTACAGCTCCATTTCAAGTGCAGAACAAAACCACCTTTCAGTCCTAACTGCCAGGAGGGGTAAGTGCAAAAGTTAAGCTAGCCAGGTTTATTCATAAACTGACTCTGGCCCTCTGAGGGAGATTCCTGTTCTTAGATATATTTTTAGTGTGTATTTCTTTTCCTAGGCAAATGTTATTCAAAACAGGGTACAAATATGAGTTGAAAATAGGATATGTAGGAGCAGTATGGCCAGTAGATGGATTTCATTATCGTACACTATACTTAAATATTGTTCTGTGGATTTTTTTGTCTTTATTTAATTAAGCATTAGAGATTAAACTCTTACATCAATATGTGCTACTTTCTCTTGTTAAAAAGAACAAAGTGATCACCTACTCAGCTTTTCAGCATACATATCCTTCCAGTTGAGCTGTTTGTTGTTAGGTTTGAGTCAGAGAGAGATAAAAAAAGACAGGAAGTGTTTACTTTAGGGTCTGTAAAATTAAGGTATTGGAACTGAAAGTCTGGTTTTCTATTTAAAACAAACAAATTGTCAGTCATGATTGTAGCTTTTGAGAAAATGCTAATGGGGTAATACTGTGTTTGATGCTGCTCCTCTGCTCAACAGCTTCAGCAGCTTGGAGCTAAAGCCAGCTGTGTAAGACAGGCATCTGCTAAAAGTTAGTGCTCTCAGTATAGTTTGAGTCCTGCCAAGAGCCTCAACTTGCTAAAGGTAGGAACATTTTTTTGTCTAGCTAGATCCTTGCAACTTCTCTACTGCTCTTTGCATCTGCTGATGGTACTGAATGGGTTTATTCCCCCCTTATAAACGTTATTGCCTGTTTGGTTGATATGTAATACCCTACAGAGGATGTTGTGTTGCTGTAATTATTCTGAAGACATTGTTTCTCTGTACTGAGGTCCAGTGTCCAAATATGTTTCTTGCACTCTAAAGTACATTAACTTTTTCATTCTAATTTAATAAATGTACCATCTGAATGAAAGTGTATTATGTCTCTATTGGAGAGCACCACAGTGTGAGTCTTTGACTGATCTAAAATTCAAGTATTGGTTACTGTCTTCTATTCACTGTCGAACATTGGTTGGCAAACTACACTGCTTCTTAATGGGACCATCTGATGGGAACAGTAACTGTAAATGCTCAAAAGCACTTTGAGAATTCCTCTACAGGTAGGTGCCTCTTTCTAACTCTTCTAGGGGCTGCTTTCTCAAGGAAATATGCTGGTGTTGCAGGTCTGGAGGACAGAAGGCAGTACTGATGCTGCAACTACTGTTGTTTGAAGGACAGCATTGGAGAGCAGGGGAGGAGGGAACAATGGCATGTGGGTGTGGAGGGAATGCTGCAGTGTGAAGGATTGAGGACTCTGGATGGGAGTGGTGTCCAAGTGAAGAGTTATGAAATTGATCATGTGTGCTGTTCCAGCTACAAAAAGAGCTGGCTTTATCTGCTAATGTATGATAAATGATTTTGAAATATTTGGTTTGCATAGCATCTCTTCCTAGTACTGTGATGGTAAAGGTATCTGGGGCCCTCTCTGACTTAACAGCATCACCATGTGCAGTGATGATTGTGATTATTAACCAGTCTGAATATTACTGTTATCAAGCTAACATTTTGGGATTTACTGTCCAGTCACAGTGTGCTTTGTCTCCTAATCAAGAGTTTTGGTTTTTCTAACAAATGATAGTTGAGAGGAATCTTTCACAGCTGGTTTTTCTTTTATTTATTTCCTTAAAGTATTGAGTACCTGCTGTGAAATAAAACTGTGTTAAAATTGTGCTTTTTTCTAGCCCTTGAGTATCAGTTTCTATCCCAATTTATCTTCAAAGGTTACAGTTTGCTTTCACATTTCTCCATTTTGCTGTGAGAGATAGGAAGAGTGAAAATTAGTATAAATAGATGCTGGTGTTCTTGTGCTGCTGAAGCATCTATTTAGCATGTTGTATTTTTATTAGCTTTTTCATTTCAGTGTTAATCATTGATGATGAGTGGGGGTATAAAGAGAAATCAGTATATTTTGAATATTAAAACATTTCAGAACATCAGTGTGAGCAAGGTCTCTAGGAGAAATGTATATATGTGTTTTCTTAGAATAAGAAGGAAAAATGAAAACCCATATTAGCAATCTTCTTTGCAGTTTTTAGTTGTAGCCTACTGAAGACTTGAGCTTTCTCTTCTAGATCCTAAGGAAGCTTAGTCAGAAAACCGAGTTAATAAATTTTTATGCAGCAGTATATTTTAGAAGTATTTTCTTTACTGTCTTGCCAAAAAGCATAATTAATTTTGTAAGATATACTTGGGTTATACTATAACTTTTGAAGGAGAATTTGCATATAGACTGGAAAAGTGAATTTATGGAAGCAAGTAGATTGAAAATTATCTGAGCTACATATGTATTTTCATGGATGAGAGAATTATAAAAGTACTACTGTTTGAAGTATTCGAAGAGTTAGAACATGTTTTTAAAACATCTCAGTGTATGAAAAATAGACCATTTTTATAAGTTTAATGTATTTACCATTGAAAGAGAATGAAGGATGATTCAATTTATTTTAAAATTATCTCCAATTATAAAATAACTCCAGTGAATTACACTTTCCATGTCTGTGGGGTCCATGTTTCTCTGTGGATTACCAGGAACTTAGCACTCACAGGACAATGTTTTTCTGGTTTAAATTTGTTACCTCTGTAATAGTCATCAGTTTAATGTGGAGTATCAAGTTGATTTAAAATGCTTAAAGCTATTTGTAAAATTATTCTTTAAGTAGTTATAAAAGAGTATGTACTGGGGGTAATGGTTACAAATTCCAGCCTGGTATGGCTAGGACACTCCTCTGTGACTACCCCACCTTCCCAGGTGCCCTTGTTTAATAGGTACAAGGCTCTGCAAGTGGAAACCAAAAGATGAGGACGATGGTTCACCTCTATAGGAAGACTTACTAAGGTGAAGTTTCCCTGTGCACTGTGTTGAAACTGCTTCCAGAAAGAAAGAAAGATAAGGTGTTGGCGTAGTTCCAGTGAGGGGAACAGAAGGTCCAATTTCCTGGCAAGCCCCACTTCACAGGGAAGTCATCTGCTATCCTGGGACCTGGGTTACAGATGACATGAGGAAACTTTCAGCTCTGATACAGCCCTTGAATTATTACCCATTATTGCTTTCTCATGTAGGCGGTTATGAAATTTGCAATATGAAGGCCAAGGAGAAGGCCAAGGACAATCAGAAGAGGTTTCAGGGCCTTGGGACACCTGGTTACTATGGGATCAGGAGCATGAGTAGTGTTCTCCTTTATCCTTCCAGTTGCAGGGAATGGTGAGGGAGGAAACAAGAACCAGCAGATCGATATTTGGTGGCAATAGCTGGGTGCACCTGTCTCAGACAGAGAGAAGGATCTTTGCGAGGGTACAGTGCTTGCTGAAAGAGCATTAAAGTGGATTGAAGGGGAAAAAGGGCTAAACCCAGGCTTGCTGGACATAAACCTGGTGGCTACACAGCAGTGTTGGACCAATGGAGGGGTAGCAAGATCCTTCACAGTGCTCCGTGATGTATGAGTATGCTGGAGCACGTTTGAAATACATGCAGTACATGCAGCATGAGGAACAAACTAAAGGACTTGGAAATGAGCAAATAAGGAGGTTTTTTTTTATCTTTATGCCTTTTATGCCAGTGGGAAGAGCTATTTGGACATGGCTGAGGGAATTTTACCTAGTTCAGGAAGAGGGCTATAGAATGTACCCCTCTAAGTCAGAATACTTCCTGATGCCATTCATTGGACTCTGTGTCATTTAGGTAATGAAGATGGGTATTGAACAGTCACCAGAACTGAAAAGTACTGAAAGTTTTATTGATCAAATAAAACAGCTTTGTCCCTGTTTTTGAGATGTGTTAGGACTATTATGTCTATAAAAAGGATATACAATAATGCTTTCACTAGGATCAAGAAGGGCAATGTAGATGCAATGTTTTCTTGCTTTATTTTTTAGACTCCTTAATTCTTTTCTGCCTCAAATACAGGTTTTGTGATGAAGCATGTGCTTGCATATTTCTGTAAGTTACATGAGGTATTTTGCATTCATCTGTTTTTACTCTTCAATACCGTAACATTAAAAAAAAACCCAAACACTGCAATTTAATTGACTTTTTTTTTAATTATTTTTACAAGTAAGACATGAAAAAAGAATGTTAAAGAAGGAGCACAAGTTATTTTTGGGAAGACCTGATTCCAGCTTCTCTACGGTCTCTGCTTTCTTTTTCTAGTGATCATATCCTCAGCTGAGTTGCCATTCGGAACCAAGTGACACAGCCTGTTGCAGTTGGGAGCCATATTTTCTAGATTGTTGGAACTGGGAGTCAGGTGCTGCAGTGGTTTCTGAAGAGCAAGCGTTCACACACTGGCAGTTTTCCACGTAGAGATAGGTATAATTTATGCTGGTTCCATTTTGGCAAGTCAGGGTCACCTCTCTTGTTTGGGTGCTGAGTTCCTGGCAGCAACCACAGTTGTGTTCCATCTGGTTTGCTTCAAGAGAGTACCTGTGTTCCACCGGGGGAAAAAAATGCATCTTGTTAAAAAGACACAGAAAACCCCCTCTGTGATTTTTGTTTTGCAAGTGTTTGGTTTGGTTTTGGAGTTTTTTAACATCCTCTTTTCCTCCTTATCACACACACTTATGAATGTGATTTTCATTGTTTTCAATAATGAAACTGTTCTTGCTTCCATTGAATCCAGTTCAGTACAGTGGAATCACATGAACACATTAACTTTGTTGCTGTTCTGCAGTCATAGAATTGCATAGTTGGAACAGACCTTTCAGATGATCAAGTCTAAGCATTAACCCAGCACTACCCAGTCCACCACTAAACTGTGTCTCTTAAGTGCCACACCTGCATGTCTTTTAAATACTTGAAGGGATGGTGACTGAACTGCTTCCCTGGGCAACCTGTTCCAGTGCTTGACAACCCTTTCAGAAGAAATATTTCCTAATATCCAATCTAAACCCTTCCTGGTACAACTTGAAGCCATTTAGTCTCATCCTTTCACTTGTTACCTGGGAGAAGAGATCGACCCCCACCTCACTACACCCTCCTTTCAGGCAGTTGTAGAGTGTGAACATTTTCCCCAAGCCTCCTTTTCTCCAGGTTGAACACCTCCAACTCCCTCAGCTGCTCTTCAAGACTTGTGCTCCAGACCCTTCTCCAGCTCTGTTGCCCTTCTCTGAACATCCTTCAGCACCTCCATGTCTTTCTTTCAGTGAGAGGCCCAGAGCTGCACACAGGACTCAAGGTGTGGCCTCACTATGGCTGAGTACATTGCCCTGGTCCTGCTGGCCACACTGTTGCTGATCCAGGCCGGGATGTTCTTGGTCATCTTGGCCACCTGGGCACACACTGGCTCATGTCCAGCTGCTGTCAGCAGCACCACCGGCTCCTTTTCCACTGGGCAGCTTCCCAGTCCCTCTGCCCCAGCCTGTAGCACTGGCTGGGGTTGTTGTGACCCAAGGGCAGGACACAGCACTGAACCTCACACAATTATTGATAAAGATATGCAACAGGACTGGCTGCAACACTGAGCCCCAGGAAACACCACTGGTGACCATCCCTCTGCTGGAGGTAACCACTGACCACCACCCTCTGGGCCTGGCCATCCAGGCAGTGAACAGGTTTTTAGGCAGTAAACAGTTCACCTGTCCAAGCTGTGAGTTCCCAGCTTCTCCAGGGAAATGCTGTGGGAAGTGCTGTCAAAAACTTTATAGAAGTCTTTGTAGACAATATCCACAGCCTTTTCCTCATCCCCTAAGTGGGTCACCCTGTCCTAGAAGGAGATCAGGTTGGTCAAGCAGCAGCTGCCTTCCCATACCTATCCTGGCTGGGCCTGATCCCCTTTTTACCCTGCATGTACTCAGTGATCACACTCAAGATAATTTGTTTCATGTCCTTCCCTGGCACCAAGGTCAGGCAGACAGGCCTGAACTTCCCTGGGAGCTCCATAGTTAACCAGACTGCTGACAAATTACAGAAACTGGCTTTGTGAGCACCTTCTCCAGCTCCCTCAGTACCCCTGGGTGATAAATTAACTTGACAGACCAGATAAAGGAAGCCACAGAGATGTTAAATGAATTTTTAGAACTTACATTGAGGAGCCAGGACAACTTCCTTCACAATATGACAGCTGAACAGGTTCAGAAGACTCACAGTCAGCATGGCTGATCACAGTTTCCTTGGTGTAAGGCTTGCACGTTTTAGCTTCATAAAAAAAGGGGAGGAGAGAAAATATACTTCAGTTCTTTAGTTCTGAACTAAAGGAATTGTAAACCAGTTTCAAAGTGCTTGATGTCTGATTACTGAGAATCTGCAGTAAATGATGGGATAGGTACTGTGTAATGTATATGGAGTTGTCAGATTACTCTTTGATTTTGGCTGTAAAGTGCATTTGGAAGATAATGTAGAGGCCTGAGTATTGCTGGTTTGATTTGTACTATTCAGTATTAGGGAAAAAAATGCATTTTTCTTTTGAATAAACATTGAAACACAGGATCTTCTTAAATAGACTATGTGAAAACAGGGTGAGTGAAGAATCCTTTCATTCACTCAAAGATAGTTACAGGTTGAGTATAGTGCTCTTCAGGCAGAACACATAAACACAGCATTACTTACGTTTACATATTTTGCAGCAGCCATCAGATGTAATCTCTGTTTCATCCTTTGTAAAAGAAGAAGGATTTGTATTAGTACATGGATGAAAATCATGAGTAAAATATAAGAATATTAGTTAGCACTACACATACTGGGCAGAAGGCTTCTCTGGGATGAACCCTGAATGCAACAATACTGTCCTCACCATAGGAGGACAATATTTGTAGCCTCATAAGAAAATACAACGCTTTTCTTATTATCAATCATAGAACAAGCCTAGTTTCATTCTGAAGACATTCCTGCAACCTCAGTGGAAGTGATTTGTTGTATTCTTCCTTGTCCCTCCTTGTTCATTTAAACTGAATTGAGTCAATGAAAGACTGATAAAAACTTACAGGATCACACTCTGCAGGGTCGTACTCAGGGCATACTCTTTTAGTTTGGACTGCAACAAACTGATCTTCAATTTTTTCACATTTGTAGTGGCTGCACTGATCAAGTGGCAGGATCTCGTTAACCTAAGATTTTATAAGAAAAGCAGAAGTTGGTTTTTTTAATTATCATCAAGTACATCTGAGTTGATTAAGTTCTCACTCCTCAAAAATTCTCAGATGCTCCTGAACTTCTTTCAAGTGACAAAAATTAAATTCTACAAACTGTAGCTAGCTTGAAAGTTTAAATCCTGGCTCTGAGCACTTATACCATAAGTTAGAAACCATTAGTCATAAAAATCAAGAATTTGATTCTAAATAATGTTCAACTCAGAAAGCTGATACATTGTTTTTTCAGAGTAATTTCAGTATTTTATTTTTACCAGTGAGGGACATGAGTTGACACTTAGCTGTTCTACCTTGTATGGGCTAACAGATAGATCTGAAAATGAAAGGAATACTTACATTGAGCACATGAACAGTGTTGTTTCTGAGTTTGACTTTGCAAGCTACTTCAATACACTTCCCACAGCACTCTCCTTCCTCAGTCATGTACTGGTAACCCTGCCCAGAAAGACATGAAGGAGAAAGTATGTTGAATTGGGGATGGAGAATTCTAGTCTTGCTGTAGCTGACTGGGCAGCCTAGAGAACCTGAACTCACCAGCGGGCACGATGTCTCACACTGAACTGTTTCACAATGCATAATGTTTGCATTAGTCTCTGGATCCTTCTCAGAACTGCAGGTGCACTTCTTACATGAATCAATTACTACTGACTTTCCAACCTGCAAGACAGGGAAGAAAAAAAAAAAAGAAAAAAAAAAAACGAAAAAAACATTCAAATGCCAACAGTTTCAATATAATATAAAGGCAGAGTTGAAAGCATTGCTGAGAACCACTAAGGTTGCTGAAAGTCAAGTATGACAGTTCTCAAATTCTCTATGAATGTAGATTTTTTTGGCTTTATGCCTTGCAGGAAAGCTCACATTAAGAGGAAACTAAATGAAGCAATGTAAAAGGGAGCAGTAAATTAATTAAATTAACATTGGTTTGTACTGGCTAATTTTTTTACCGGCTTTTTAATGCTTCATTTAAGAATATTTTTTCCTCTATAAGTTACGTTCAGTGGTTGTAAAACAATTTTAATTTAAAAGCAGGGATTAAATTAGGCCTTTACATATGCAGATACATAAGCAGACATCTAAATTTGCATATGAATTTTAGTCTTTCTGAAATGTATCCCCAAAGATTCCAGTGCTAATATTTAAATTACAAGTTAATGACCTAAGCACCAATTTTAGCAAAAGGGTTTAGGTATCAATTAAATAAAAAAATGTTAACTTTGGGATTTTTTAAGGTGTTCTGGGCTTATTTCAAAGAGCAATTGAATTTGGGCTATTCATCAGATTGTCTGGCAAAGTCATTAATTACAGAAGGGAGAGGAAGCTTAAAAAGAAGTACATCACTAAAAATGGTACATTCTGCTTTTATACTATTAGATGAGGAAGACTTCTGTGACAAATTTGATTTTGACTTTAAAATACCCAAACAATGTCCAGTTAAGGGCAACAGAGAAAAACCCCCAAATGCATGTACTGGGTAAAGAACTTTCTCAAAGACTTATTTTGGTAGAAAGGATGTAGTTTTCACTTCCAGCAATATACTGCTATATCATTCTTACCGTGTACAATGTTCCATTAATCACACAGACATCAGGTATTGGTTCTAAAAAACAAAACAAAAAATAAATTCAGAATAACTCAAATTGTGTCTTCCTGAGAGGTCAAGATGTTATCAGGTTTTGTTAGTAATGCAGAGAGTACTGAAAAATTGAATTCAATCCCCCTATGCACTTAGACTTCATATGTAGTGTAGCTGAATGTTTAAGTAAAGTTTCATCATTAAAATCAGCTGGCAGAGGTGGAGAGAAATGGCTTGAAACTCAAGCTATGCCTGAAAAATCCCTTTTCTGCCCTTTCAATATCTGGTTCAATTCAAATTAAATTAGTTGTTTCCTCTGGGAACCCTCAGCCTCCAAGTGATAAACAAAGATGCTTCAGTTATTGATTCTTTATGACCTTTCAAAACATGGCTTGTATAGAAGATTGACCCTGTGGAAAAAGATATTCCTACCTAACGTAAATCTGACAACATGGCAGAACCCATCTATGTCTTTCACAGTAATGCTTTAAACTTGCCTGTTCCTTTGTTTTGACTTTCCTTTTTCAGGCTTAATTTATGGGTACTTTTTTCTTTTTAGTCTATTGCACAAGTATACGTACATAAAATATATGTACATAAAAATGTGTATTTATAAATAAACTGATATAACTGTAGGATTTTTTTATTTTCATGAGGATCTGGCAAGAGTGTAAGTATAATTATTACTTTTCATACACTGTGCATTCAGTTACTGATTACAATTTACTTTGTACTATTGCTTCCTGTTACTTGGTCTTATAGTTCACTGTTAAGCTTTTTTGTGGCTTATTCTGGTATTTATGCATCTTAGTTTAGTTGCATTTAGGCTGATGTTAATGTGCTCCAATGTTCCATTAATAACATGAAAAAGATGCATTGATAACATTTATAATTACAGGTACAAAGATAGTTGAGCTACATAGACCAGTGAATGTTCAAAATATTATTCTGCTCTCCCACCCATTCTCTCATCAAAGTTAAATGAAAATAACATTATTTTTTTAAACAAAGCTTCAATGCATATTTAGTCAAAAATCATTGTGTGTTCACTGAGACAGAAAAATTTAAGAAATATTTTGCTGTTATTGTGATACATTAGAACTTCCTTAGGTATTAATGGAAATGCAAATGTAATTTACTGGAGTGCTATTTATACATGTATTTTTAATACTTACGGCATTCAAATGCAGGACAACATGGGTCTTTTTGTGGTAGTACAGCCATGGGAACAAATCCTAGGTCACAAATTGTTTGCTGAGCTGTTTGGCATGGGAGTGGCTGGCATTGCACAGTAGCAGTGAGGGAGTCACAGACACACTTCTGGCATTCATCTATCCACTCCTCTCCAGGCTGAAAATATGTAAATTATTTATTCTTAAATGCTCCTTCATCCTAGTTGTTTAGTTTTAACCTAAGATATACTCTCAAAATTAGTAGAAAATTCAGATTTGAGTTGTTTTAGCACATCATTTAAGAACAGGTATACTAAGAATAACCACAGAATTTTCTTTTGCATAAAAAGAATGGTATTTTACATTTCACAGCTAGTCTACTTACGTCTATGAAATTTAAATGTCTTTTATTAAAACCAAAAGTCTTTGCCATGGTCTTAGTGAGCTTTTCCACCAAGAGATTACTTCAAAGTCTGGTAATGCCAGGTTAAATAATTGTGAGGTCTCAGGTCACTTGTTACATGACCAACTTTGCTATTGAGCTACATAGAGGTTGATTTAAATTGGCTGTTAAAGGACAGAAATTAGTCTGGTTTTGCAACAGTGGTGTATTAGAAAGTAGGGAGGGGAACCACCTTTCGTGCAGGATAGACATCAGTGCAGTTTCTTTCCACTGAAGTTGTGGTGGTTGTTGCTGTGGTTGGTGAGGCAGCTTGTGATGTAGTTGAGGGGGCGACTGAAGGAGCAGGAGTTGTCACAGGACATGGCCCATAGAAGGGCTCAATCTCACATTCTTTGCTGCAAAGTGCATAAAAATTACAGCCAGCTCTATCTGTTCTGTTGTATACCACTTCCCCTGCAGATGAAAATTGGAAGAGAAATTACAAGAATGAAAACACGTAGGGAGAAAAACCAAAAAAATATTGTAAAAATATTAAGTGTATTCATGTATAAAATGTTCTGTGTTTAGATGATTTTGAGTTGTTATATTTAATTGAATAGAGTCTTAGGAGTTCATATTGCTTATGAAATTTTTTATAATTGTAAAATAAGACACTTACCAGGAGAAAATAAAGTTTCAAACACATGACAAAAGCATGGAGGTATTTTGCTGGATGTAACAGATGTGCTGGTGGAAGAACTGACAGTTGCAGGAGTGCTTGTTGTAACATGACTTGATTGTGATGTACCAGTTAAAGCTGCTGTTGAATACAAGTAATAATTTAGTTTGCGGGTACAGGATTTTGATCTAATAATTTTAACATCTTCAAGAAGTCTATTCAACATTCTGGCAAACCAAGTGAACATGTTCCTTGTATTCAAATATTTCACCTATTCATAACGGGAGATTATGGAAATTTTTTCATTGCACATTGAATAACATCAATAATATCCTTTGGCAAATCTGAGGAGATTTACCTCTAAAGTTGTGAAAAGTTTCAACTTTTTAAGTAAGTATTAATACTAGGAAGTTAACTAAGCTGACAAACATAAATACTAGCAAAAAAGGCAGAGATTGATTTAAAATCTGTTCATGTGTTTTAACAAATATAAATGGTCATAGGTTAATATAATCACAGACTGGTTTAGGAAAAGAAGCAACACAACACACATATGAATGTTGGTCTAAAGAAAATGATGCTTGTAAAATTATAAAAAGTATACAAGGACATACATGGGCTGACAGTGGTGTTCAAGAAAACTGTCAGAGTGGTATTTTCTACAGTAGGACAAAAGAACTTATAAGACTTTACCTGGAGTACTTCCAGACTGAGGAAGAGTGGTAGTGAACACAGCTGAGGGGCCAGAAGTGGTTATTAATGTTATTTCAGGTGAAGTGGAGACAGTGCTAGTGGTGGTAGTGATGATGGTTGTGCCCTCACTAGCTGAGGCCATGCTGCTGGGGCCAGCCGTGGTGCCTGTGGTGGTTCTTATTTTAACATCAGGGTCTGGGTTGACACAGTGGAGGTTTCTCCTGGAGCAGATGTTGCAGAAACTCTTGTGGTACTTCTCTCGGTAGTCCTGGAGGTGCTGCCAGGCATAGGTACTGTTGTTGTTCTTATTTTAACTTCAGAGGGTGTAGTGGGAGATGTTGTAGACTGGGTTGCCACAGTGGAGGTTTCTCCTGGAGTAGAGGTGGCAGAGGTTCTCGTGGTGCTTACTGCTGTGGTAATCCTGGAGGTGCTGGCAGTCCTGGTGGCAGGGATAGGAACTGTGGTGGTTCTTATTTTAACTTCAGAGGGTGTTGTGGGAGATGTTGTAGACTGGGTTGCTGCTGTGGAGGTTTCTCCTGGTGCAGAGGTGGCAGAAGCTCTTGTGGTACTTCTCTCGGCAGTCCTGGAGGTGCTGGCAGTGCTGGTGGCTGGTGTTGACACTCTTGCTGTTGTCGGGATGATGATGGTTGTACCTTCAGTCTGAGCTGGAGAGGTGCTGGTGGTGGTAGTGATGATGGTTGTGCCCTCTGTGGCTGAAGCCTTGGTGCTTGGGACCGCTGTGCTGCCTGTGGTGGTTTGTATTTTCATAGGCTCTGTGTATTTTGGGGTGACGATGGTGGTTCCTTCTGTTGAGAGGGTCCTTGTTGTTCCTAGAGTGGTTGTTATTTCTTGCAGTGGAAGTGTGGTGGCAGCAGTTGGTGTTGCTGTAGGTTTTGTTGTTACTGTGGTCGTTTCTGCTGGGAAGTATGTTGTCGTGGTGCTTACAGTGGTTCCTGGGGTTGGCACTGTTGTCTGGCAGGGTTTTCGGTCACAGCACAGCACTGAGACCTCGTAGTCGAAGCAGGTGGGGTACTTAATAGTCTGATCCTTATTTCTGCACACTAGCCCTCTGTCAAGACTGCAGTCAAATTTCTGTTCCATTATTTTCACAATTGTGTCAGAGTAGTCTTTAGCTCGGCACTTGATGTCTTGAGGCTTCTCACACAACTCATAGCCAGCAGCTCGGATGTTTTCAAATGTCTCTAAATCTCCATTTTCGCTGCCTGGAGTAGGGGAGTCTACATTAAACCACTGTGTCCAGGCACAGCGCTCCACCACGCAGTTGTCAGTGCTATTGGAGATGCGGATAGTGGTGGTGCCTGGAGTTGTTGTTGTGGGTGGGGTGATGGTGGTTGTACCTTCAGTCTGAGGCGGAGAGGTGCTGGTGGTGGTAGTGATGATGGTTGTGCCCTCTGTGGCTGAAGCCTTGGTGCTTGGGACCGCTGTGCTGCCTGTGGTGGTTTGTATTTTCATAGGCTCTGTGTATTTTGGGGTGACGATGGTGGTTCCTTCTGTTGAGAGGGTCCTTGTTGTTCCTAGAGTGGTTGTTATTTCTTGCAGTGGAAGTGTGGTGGCAGCAGTTGGTGTTGCTGTAGGTTTTGTTGTTACTGTGGTCGTTTCTGCTGGGAAGTATGTTGTCGTGGTGCTTACAGTGGTTCCTGGGGTTGGCACTGTTGTCTGGCAGGGTTTTCGGTCACAGCACAGCACTGAGACCTCGTAGTCGAAGCAGGTGGGGTACTTAATAGTCTGATCCTTATTTCTGCACACTAGCCCTCTGTCAAGACTGCAGTCAAATTTCTGTTCCATTATTTTCACAATTGTGTCAGAGTAGTCTTTAGCTCGGCACTTGATGTCTTGAGGCTTCTCACACAACTCATAGCCAGCAGCTCGGATGTTTTCAAATGTCTCTAAATCTCCATTTTCGCTGCCTGGAGTAGGGGAGTCTACATTAAACCACTGTGTCCAGGCACAGCGCTCCACCACGCAGTTGTCAGTGCTATTGGAGATGCGGATAGTGGTGGTGCCTGGAGTTGTTGTTGTGGGGGGGGTGATGGTGGTTGTGCCTTCGGTCTGAGGCGGAGAGGTACTGGTGGTGGTAGTGATGATGGTTGTGCCTTCTCTGGGTGAGACCGCAGTGCTGGGGCCAGCTGTGGTGCCTGTGGTGGTTCTGATTTTAACTTCAGTCGGTGTTGTAGGAGATGTTGTAGACTGGGTTGCCGCAGTGGAGGTTTCTCCTGGCGCAGAGGTGGCAGAAGCTCTTGTGGTACGGCCAGCTGTGGTGCCTGTGGTGGTTCTGATTTTAACTTCAGTCGGTGTTGTAGGAGATGTTGTAGACTGGGTTGCCGCAGTGGAGGTTTCTCCTGGCGCAGAGGTGGCAGAAGCTCTTGTGGTACGGCCAGCTGTGGTGCCTGTGGTGGTTCTGATTTTAACTTCAGTCGGTGTTGTAGGAGATGTTGTAGACTGGGTTGCCGCAGTGGAGGTTTCTCCTGGCGCAGAGGTGGCAGAAGCTCTTGTGGTACGGCCAGCTGTGGTGCCTGTGGTGGTTCTGATTTTAACTTCAGTCGGTGTTGTAGGAGATGTTGTAGACTGGGTTGCCGCAGTGGAGGTTTCTCCTGGCGCAGAGGTGGCAGAAGCTCTTGTGGTACGGCCAGCTGTGGTGCCTGTGGTGGTTCTGATTTTAACTTCAGTCGGTGTTGTAGGAGATGTTGTAGACTGGGTTGCCGCAGTGGAGGTTTCTCCTGGCGCAGAGGTGGCAGAAGCTCTTGTGGTACGGCCAGCTGTGGTGCCTGTGGTGGTTCTGATTTTAACTTCAGTCGGTGTTGTAGGAGATGTTGTAGACTGGGTTGCCGCAGTGGAGGTTTCTCCTGGCGCAGAGGTGGCAGAAGCTCTTGTGGTACGGCCAGCTGTGGTGCCTGTGGTGGTTCTGATTTTAACTTCAGTCGGTGTTGTAGGAGATGTTGTAGACTGGGTTGCCGCAGTGGAGGTTTCTCCTGGCGCAGAGGTGGCAGAAGCTCTTGTGGTACGGCCAGCTGTGGTGCCTGTGGTGGTTCTGATTTTAACTTCAGTCGGTGTTGTAGGAGATGTTGTAGACTGGGTTGCCGCAGTGGAGGTTTCTCCTGGCGCAGAGGTGGCAGAAGCTCTTGTGGTACGGCCAGCTGTGGTGCCTGTGGTGGTTCTGATTTTAACTTCAGTCGGTGTTGTAGGAGATGTTGTAGACTGGGTTGCCGCAGTGGAGGTTTCTCCTGGCGCAGAGGTGGCAGAAGCTCTTGTGGTACGGCCAGCTGTGGTGCCTGTGGTGGTTCTGATTTTAACTTCAGTCGGTGTTGTAGGAGATGTTGTAGACTGGGTTGCCGCAGTGGAGGTTTCTCCTGGCGCAGAGGTGGCAGAAGCTCTTGTGGTACGGCCAGCTGTGGTGCCTGTGGTGGTTCTGATTTTAACTTCAGTCGGTGTTGTAGGAGATGTTGTAGACTGGGTTGCCGCAGTGGAGGTTTCTCCTGGCGCAGAGGTGGCAGAAGCTCTTGTGGTACGGCCAGCTGTGGTGCCTGTGGTGGTTCTGATTTTAACTTCAGTCGGTGTTGTAGGAGATGTTGTAGACTGGGTTGCCGCAGTGGAGGTTTCTCCTGGCGCAGAGGTGGCAGAAGCTCTTGTGGTACGGCCAGCTGTGGTGCCTGTGGTGGTTCTGATTTTAACTTCAGTCGGTGTTGTAGGAGATGTTGTAGACTGGGTTGCCGCAGTGGAGGTTTCTCCTGGCGCAGAGGTGGCAGAAGCTCTTGTGGTACGGCCAGCTGTGGTGCCTGTGGTGGTTCTGATTTTAACTTCGGAGGGTGTAGTGGGAGATGTTGAAACCTGGGTTGTCACAGTGGAGGTTTCTGCTGTAGTAGTTGTGATTTGGTACTCTGTTGTTGAAAATTGTGGTGGTGTTGTTTTTACTGACGTTTCGGTCTGAGTCGTCGTTCTTTCTCGGTCTCTCATTGGTGTTGTAGTTACTTCACTTTCTTGTTTTTGTGTTGTTGGTATTATTGTTGTCTGTACTGTAAATGGTGTTGATTCTACAGTAGTAGTTGTGAATTCTCTTGTGGTTGTGGTTGTTGTAGTTTGTGCTTCTGAACATGGTATGTATCTGCAGCATAATATTCTGATTTCATAATTATAGCACTGCTTAGATTCTTGGTCATGGTTATTGCATATTAATCCTCTGCTTTGACTACACTCTACAGTTTGGTTAAGGTTGGTGATTTCAGTATCTGGGTGTTCTTTGGCTCTGCATTGAACATCGCTTGGGTTTGTACACACACTGTATCCTTTATCCTTGAGATTTTGATAAGTTTCATAATCTCCACTGTCCTCTTTGTTTTCAGGCTGAGTGGTATCATACCATTCTGACCACACACAGACATTTTTCACACATACAGTTGTCATTGGTGTTGCAGTTGTCGTTTCTGTAATTTAAAGAAGGAAACCTAAGTCTTGTCTGTTCTTATTAAAGAGAGTTCCAGGAAGAAATGATTTATCTTCCATTCCTTTTTTATTGTAAATAATTTTTTAATATTAGATAGTATTTTAATTTTAATGAACTTGCTTTGGCAGTCTCAAATTTAATTTCTAAAGTAGGTTTTGACTTTTTGCCTGTCTTATTATTGTAGAGGTAGTTTCTTTGACATCTGTAGCTAAATATAGGTAATCTGATATCCTTTGCACAGTATGTCACTGCGTAGATAATAGATCACACAATTGCTTTGGTATAAGTAGAGGAGGTTTTATTCTCCTTGGCATTATCTCTGTATTTATTTACACTTAATTGCGTAACCATGCAGATTTTAAAATATTTTGACCAATTAATGACTTAGTTCAATATTACTACATGTAACATATTTATAAATATAAAATATATACTTAATATATATGTATTTCATATGTAGTACTTTATAATAGAGACTACACATATACTATATATGAAATATATAATCTAACAGGTATTTTCCATGTATTTTAATAAGACTTCATATTCCTGGCATTATGAAGATAATCATGTGGAACAGATACTACTTTCTCAATATGAACGTTATTTAACAGACTTAAATTTGAATATTTAGTTCTTGCTGTAGTATAATTTTGTGGATATGTTTCTCACAATTACTCAGAATTTGGTTATTGTAATTAATTAACTGCAGGAATAATATAGCAGTGTACTCCAGAAGTAGAAGGAAACTTGATTTGGGTATTAAACACAATTATGAAAGGTTCCAGAGAATGGTTATAAATAGTTTAAACATTCCCTCAAACTAAATTTCTCATCTGCTCACTAATTTAAGAAATGGCAGCAACTGTCTATGTTTTCAGAAGCTGGTCTAGAACTGCTGGGGTTTTTTGCAAGGAAATGAGAAGATTCTCCAGGATGTAGTGATTAATAAACTCTATTAATTTTCCCCCTGGGATCACCATGGTAAAACAGAGGAGACTGAGTTTCTAAGAAATGCTGTATTAATTTCTACATCCTTAACTATTTTTTTTCAACTAAAGCTGCCAGGTGAACTGGCAGATCCAGCAGAAGTCAATAGTTTCAAGTAAAATTATATACTGTTAAGTGATGAAAAGGTTCTGTCTTTCAGGTAATTTTTACTTACAGAGATTTGTGAGTTATTTTAGAGATTATTCATGCATACCTGAAGCAGTAGTCGTGGGCTGACTTGTGGAAAATGTAAATGGGGTTGTTGTAAAAATGCCACATTTAAAGATGTTTCTGCTTATCGTTCCGTTGACATCGCATGTTGCACTGAAACACCATCCAGTTCCATCTGTGGTGTTGTAGATGAGTTCACCATATTTATAGCTATTCCCTTCATAAATGCAGTTGCAGGCTGTAATTCAGAAGTTTATTGTCAGTTCATGCCTCTATGAAAAGATAGCATCCAATCCTTCTTTTTCTAAATAATATTTCTTAGCTATCTTACCTTTATCATCGAACTTGCACTGTAAACCTTCTGATGTGCACTCACTGAAACAGAAAGCATAAAACCCCATATATTTTGTGATTGTGATGTAACATTATCAGACATCTTTCTGACAGATACTGGCATCAAAAGGCAAGGGACTTTATGTTTATTCCTAGAGTATTCTGTTCATTTTGGCTCCTTTTTGGCCATTATTTTCCAAAATCTTCCTTTATGTTAAACCCGAACTTACAAATAGAAGTGAAGTGAAGTATTATGCAAAGTTACAGGTAGAAGTCTCAAGGAAGACTTTCCTTTTTTCCTTCAAAACACTTTCCTTGCATTTGCAATGTTTTTGTAGCACAATAGAAGGCTAAAAGTGTAAATCTAAATGCTCAAATGAAGCAAGTATGTTACAAAATCCTTGGAAGCAGGTCACTAATAAATATCTTTACTCATGGCATAACATTTTTCCTGCCACAGGAATGTGAAATAAATATAGCCTAGTCATAAAGGACTTCTTGTTCTTGATGTATCTTAATGCTGAGGATTTACAATATAATCGGGAACAAATTAATTAAAACATAAAATCACATAAAACCTTCTTATTAATGTAGTAGGAAAACTAGCATTAGATCGTACGGCATTATTTCATCACAGGTAGCATGAGCTGATCCTGCATGTAACAGGAACACACAACTTCCCCCTGGAGTTTTGATCTTTTTTCCTTTGTATATGATGAGGTTGGTGTGTTAAGTCTTACCATATATTACATTCATCCCGCTTATATATCTTTCCATCTTCATCATCATAACAGTCACAGAGACTAACACACTTCATCTGATCCTCATGAAAATATGGCTTGTCTGGTGGGCAGTTAGGATAGCAGCCTGAAGGTGGAATAGGTAAGAATGAGATACAGCCAGCAAAGGTTTTCTTTGCACCAAATGCATTTGCAGGTCTTGTTTTTAATAGTCATCATGTTTTTACTTTATGTTTTGCAATAGCTCCAGGAAGAATGCAGAGTTACTAGCATCAGCAGAGCCCATCCATAGAGATGGGCTTAGTCCTAGAGATCTTCTTACTGCAGTTTCCATACTCTGCCTCCATTCATGTGCATGTAATGGTATTAGAGAAAATTCAATTGTGCAAATGCAGCTGTTGGAGGGAATATGCTTCATCAAAGACAATTTAAAATATGGCAATATGTACCCTCTAGGAGGTACTTGCAGCTATTTTTACCTTCTAAACCTGGCAGGTCATTGAGGCATTTTCCACTTGGGTTCTTACAGGTCTTCATACAGGAAGCACCACAAGGTTTATAGTGCCATTCGCATTCTCCTTGCTGATTGTAGTAATCACAGAACAGTGCTAAGGAGAAACAGAAAGTTGAACATATTCAGGGAAAGAAAAAAAAAAAGAGCAAACAGCTTAAGCATGAAAAATTGACACAGGGAGATATTAATGCACATATGTAAGATACTGTACACTTATCTACACTTTAGGGAGTGTTTATGACACAAAACTTACGACAAATTGTTGGGCTTCTCCAGGCTACGCATACACCAACTTCACTGCATGCTTGAGCATAGGCAGCTACTGCTGTACAAAAGCAATCACAGTCTCCTCCAGTGTCACAGGCACAAGCATCTGTCACACATGCTTGGTAATATTTTGCTGGTTCAACCTGTTATTAAACAGAAATATAATACTATGCATCCTGCCTTCTAAGTGATTTCTTACCTTTGCTAGAGTAGTTTTCTTACAATTGTAGTATCCCAGAGGAAAGGCCTACATTGGTAATTTCTTTTTCTTTTGATAGACACTGTAAGACAGCTGAAGTGATGCCAAATGATACATCCAAATCATGTATTGCCAGATTTTTAGAAACTTGGACTTGTATCCTGGTGTCAGATTAGATTAATTTAAAAAGAAAATATTAGGCAACTGCAGTTACCTGACAACATTTGTTATGTATTTAGTGTCAGGTAAAGGCTATGCTGACACTTCATTCCTATATTATTATTTCATTGAGCTTGCCTTCTCTACCTGGTATATGAGAATTTTCATTCAAGTCAGGCTGCAAGGAAATTAATATAATTACGAAATTATTATTATTTTGTAGTTATTTTTCTTTTTAAAATGTCTTTTTATTTCTTACAAGTAGGAACTATAAATCTATTCCATTGAGGGTGATTCAGACTGGAGTTTTCCTGGCACAATTTGAAGTGAAACATATTAATAAACAAGGCATGCATCTTAAAACCTATGAGAACAGCACCTTCAACAACCCACAGACTTAGTTTTCCCAGAGTAAATGTCTGCCCTGGTAATACCTGGGAGTGACAGGCAGCAAAGACATTGCTGTTGATGATGCTACACTGCTTCTCTGACCAGGATTTCCGATAAGGGTTGGTAGAACATGGGTCCTTGACACTGGAAGCATCAGGGCATGTAGAGGATACTTTCCAGCTGTTTCCAAACTCGAGGACATTCTCTACTACAGATTGACTCCTTGTAGTAAAGTCATTGATGCTGTTACCATCATAATTTCCACAAAGACCACAGACCTGGCCCTGCAAAAGGATGTAAATAAAAGAATAATGGATGTGAGAAAACTTGAAACAAAATCTGAGACTAAAAGAATACTTAAAGTCTATCTCTTAGAATGGTGGCATTCCATTCTATCAGTCCTAAACATCTTCATACTCTGGGATAAAGGAACAGAATATGACCACTAAGGCTAGAAGGATACTGTTCTTAACTTTTTTTCTTTAAAATAGGAACAATAAAACCATCTTTTTCATCATAAACCTTCTGTCTTTGAGGTACATTTTTAACAAGGAAGTAAGGACTCACAGCTGATTAAGCTTTCAATTTAAGCCTTGTTTTATACAATAGCTATACATATAAAAACAACCTTCCAACTATTAAGTATTACCTGTTCAGCCACCTAATCTATTAATTGAGTCTTTACCATTAAGTCTGCTCACACATATATAAAGAAATTACATTTTCCTTGTGTATCCAGAAATATCCCTCATTCTGAATGTATGGATCTGTACAACTGTGAGAGGCTGCAATACATGCTTTTTCTGTGAAACTAAGGTGCACACTTTCCATACTACTACTGTTTTTACAAAATGCTGGTGAGTGATGCAGGGAAAGAACCTATGGTACTGAAAAAAGTTGGTTCTAAATTATGCCTATTTTAAATACCTAATTTAAATGTCATTGTGGTATGCAGTAAGATAGAAAATTCTGTATTTACTACAGTTTTTTGTGACTATATATCATAAGGTAAGAGAAGGAATATGAAAATTTGAATTAATTTTCCTTATCATCTGTGTAGTTATATGCTTGACAAATACTTGGTGGCATAAGAGAGGCTTTTACTCATTATACACCCCTTGTTCTTGAAGTGTGATAATTTGTGTGTCAATGAGAACTGGAAATGATGGATTATTTTCAAGATCAAGCCTATTCAGTTGATTTATACACAGGTAGTTATGTAATTTTAATAAGTCTGATAACCTGTAACAAGGTTCCGTTTGTAATTTCAAAAAAGTCAAGTCCAAAATTGTGTTTTGCCAACTCAAGTTCTGTCAGGCCAAATAGGCACTGTAAGCTGCCTTCCAAGCTCAGAATGATGACAAGGCTTCCTGAGGTACCAGAGGAATGGAAAGCAATGTGGGATGAACGGCAGGAATGCTAGAGACATCATTGTCTGGGAACCTGGCAGGGTCTCAACAAGATTCACATCCAGTCAAACATGGACAGTAAATTGCCATTGAACTGCTAGTTCCATACCTTGAAACCAGGGCTGAGCTTGATGAAGATGCTGGTTTTCTTGTCCCACATGAGGATCAGTCCATTTTTGGTCTCAATGACCAGGTACATCCCCATATAGCGGACTGTGTATGGCACCTCGTCATTCTCTCCTCTCTTTATGACACTGACGCTCTCTTCACTAAGGATCAGCTCATAGCTCTGAAACAGGAGGAAAAGGTAAGGAGAAATGAGCTCAGTAGCTGCAGCTGTGCTCTTCAAACATGCTTTTCTGCTTTTAAGAGTACTATGAATAGTTTATATCATGAAAACAAATAATCTGAATGCAATAAATGAAAGCAATATAATTCAAATTTCAGGTTCCTGGAAGTGTGGTAACAGATATTTTGAATGGCGTAGGTTAAAAAAAGTGTCTTTTGACACTCATGGAGGAACTACATTGTATACAATAAAAGAATCTTCTGACACAATAGGCTAAATTTCTGCCTTTAGACCTTTACTTTTCCCAAGGATGATCTAAGATAGTGTGGGAATTTGAAAACATAGAAAGGTAGGAAGATCTATCAAATATTTCACTTGAATCCAATGTAAACCTAATTTAATAATTGAATTGCCTTTTAAAATATTTTCCAAATTCTTTGAAGCAGTAGAAATCCAGGCTTCTCCTAAGCCTTAGCAGGTACAAAACAAAACTGCTGTATATGCAAAACCTTCTTACCTCTAAGAAGACTTTGATAGACTTTGAGCAAGTTGTCCCAGTGTTGCCACAAGGAACATTTTCAGTGGCAACCCTGAAGGTCCCATTGACTGCTCCACTTTTCCCACAGTGATCCTGAATAGAGAATAACAATAATAATTTAAAAATGTATTATTTTTACAGATAGGATCAAGATTACCTCTAATTTGCTACTGCTAGCTATCAGTACCTGGACTAGTGTGTATTCACAATTTCCATTGAAGCTGAATCTTTTGTCATCAAAGGTATTATAATGACCATCTCCATAAACAGCACAAGTGCCCAGACATTGATCTTTGGTGCATTCCCACTTCCTATTCTTGCATACACTAGAAAAAAAAATTAAATATTTTAATAATAAAACAGCTTACTCTTTTGTGTAGACATATCTGAACAATCAATATTTGTTTGACAACCCATCCCTGCCAAATGCTATATTTTTTCTGGAAATAAAACACTCTTTTACATTTTTCATGTAAAGCATTAAAGAAAATTCTGTTCTGCTACCTGAATACCTTAACTGCAAAACTAGGTACTTAATGAACCCTGTACTCCTAAAGGTTTCCTCCCATTCTGTGCTTTGGCCATCTGACAGATATCAGAAGGTAACCTTCTCATACTGTGTAATCCAAAACGAAAAGATCTAAAATCCATCAACTGATTAGGTTTGCAATCCAAATCTTTTACTATAAAAGGTCTTCAGGAAGGCAAATGATGGAACCAGGAATGCTGCTTCTGCAGATATACTTACCAGGTGTTACAGTCGAAGTTGATCTTTTCCCCAGGCTGGTACATGGCTTCATTGTGAATACATGGACATTCCTCTTCAGGAATACAACCACCCTTCCCATCTAACACAAGCCCATCTGGGCATATGCAGCCAGATGTACATTGTGAGCTATACTGGAAAAGATAAAAGAAAAACATAATTTTAGAGTGAAATGATCAATTAGAAAAAGGAAGAATAATTCTCATTAAAGGTCCCTTATATGGTCTCATTGCTGCCCAATAGGAGCGAACTATAAAGTAATTAAAGGGTAACAGAACAAAAAAGTTATTAGCCATAGATTTAATAAAATATAAATTTGTCAAAGAGAAACGTTTTATGTATACTAATCCTGATTGTCCTGCTGGAACCTGTGAAATTTCAAACACATTGGCTCTTACACTTTGTAGTGGGTGCTTTGTGACTGAATGGACTTTTAAAAGAAAGACAAGTAATATTTTTTCCAGTTTAGCTGAGTTGTATTGAAATCTATTTATCTCATATGGTACTTATGGAATAGCATATGGCTACCAAGAACTCTAGTGGAGTAACATGATTAGATGCAGCATGGTATGAGAAAGAATAATTTCTCCTAGCCAGCTTTTAGCCTTTCCTAAAGAAGGCAAATAAGCAGTAGAGCTCTAGATTTTTCACTAGTAGTTACTGTTACCTCCAGTAGCTGAAGAAAGGTAGACACTAATCTTAAGAATTAATTTGGATATTTATTATTATATTTTGATCCAAGGGTTCCATTGTTAATGCTTCATAACATCATTTTAGGGCTTCTGCTACAAGAATAATGTATCTGTGTTGTAGGTTTGGAGTAGATGCAATAGATAATTACTTCAGCAGCAAGAGCACAGACAAAACCTGGAAGTACCATTTCACTGGGCCATGAAATACTTACACACTGCATATCCAGAGTCTGGCAACTTTTTTGACATTCTGCTCCAGTTGTTCCTGCTGTGTTGTTTTGACAGTCAAAGTAGACCATGGGAGATTCACAGACTAGAGGAAGGAAAGAAGTGGTACAGGGTTTATTCCACAGCTGTAGCCATTTAAACCACCTATAAGTTCTTTGGAAATTCCCTATTTCAGTTAGGAGAGATTGTTGTCCCTATTCAACCTGCTGATTAGATTCACTACAGAGTAGTGGATTCCCCCCCCAAAAAAACCAACCAAAAACCCCCCACAAAATATAACAGAATAAAAAGTCTTTATGTAAAAAGAGGTTTTACGATTAATCCAGTTCACTCCTGCCTTTTATGATAACTGTAGCACTATGACTGAGAAATGCTTCTATTAAGAATCCATTAAGAAGAATCAATTCTGTGAACTATTCTGTGCAAGATATGGTAAAGAGAAAAAAGTAAGTGGAAGACTATTTTTACCTGAAGTAGGATTTGGTGCTCCAATGCAATTCAGTCTTCCCTGGACACAAGTGCTGTAAGAGAGGGAAAAACAATCTATTTTATTATCTCCTCTCAAACCCAGTATTGAGATTGAGATTGAGATTGATTGATTGTCAAGTTTCAGAATTTTCAAAGGAATTGCAAAAACCTGTTTTGCAGTCTCAGGAAAGAATTTGTCTCAATACCACTAAATGTGCTGATTTCATATGATATCCATTGTTGCTTAGCAGGAAAATTCATAGGTTGTAATGCAAATATGTCATTGCTTATTACTTACATTCTCATAAGATCTCCTCTTGTTTCTGTTGCTGTAATTTTCTACTTGAAAGATTATGGAATTAAATGAAAAATGCACCAAAGTACAACTGCCCTATCAATCTAGAAATATTACGGAATCATAGAAAACTTTAGGATGGAAAAGACCCTTAAGATCCTCGAGTCCAACCATTAACCCAGCACTGCCAAGTCCACCACTACACTATGTCCCTAACTGCCATATCTCTACGGCGTTTAAATTCTTGCAGGGATAGTGACTCAACCAGTTCCCAGACTTCAATGAGAAAACACACATTGTTTGAATGTTTTAAAAAAGATTACTTACCATACACGCCCACTTTCATGGACCACTTCTCCAAATGGTACAGGAGACCCTTTGTAGTAGCAGGGGCATTCATTAGCAGGCACACATTTGCCACTGTCATCCATGTAGGTTCCATTTACGCAGGTACAGCCATCAACTGGGACAAACTTGATGCTGCATGTGACATCAGGCTCACTCAGAGAGCGGCAGGTGGGTTGGCAGGAAGAGATGGTATAGCTGTAGCTCAGGGATTTGGGACATGAGGTGGTGTATTTTGCTTGAGAGTGGAAAATAAAATAGATTGTTAATTTCAGATGGTAAATTCTCATGTGGAAAAAGAAAAATCATAGGCAGTAGAAATAACATGTAAACAATACACCTCTGCTTATGTTGCATATTTCATGTATTTCTGAATAATTTCAGAGTTTGATCTAAAAAGCTATTGTACATGTGGAGTAAATGATGCATGCAAAGAAGATTTTTTCAAATGGAAGTTCATAAGGAAACCTCCATTTGGTGCTGCCATTCATTGCCAAGATGCCTAAACTTCTTGAGGAATGAGACAAGATATCTTCCTGAATGTCATCTGCTATGCTGAAAACAGACATACTGGGTGCGCAGAACCCAGCATCAAAGACATGAATTTGCAAGTGTTCTGGTTGGTATTACTAGTGCTGTTATTCTAATACAACACATTATCTCTGCAATAACGTGTGATTCTTGTAAAGCTGCAGTGAAACTCTAAGTTGCACAGAAACAGGTGGAGGCACTTCCATAAAAACAGCCCCTTTCATAATCAAACCACATCTCCCTTCTATTCATATTCACTCTTGCCAGCAATGGATTGATTTTAAGGGGACAGCAGAGAATTACTTCCAGGAGTGCACTTAACAAAATCCCTTCCTCATCACTTACTGATTTGTCTAGAAATGAGTAGAAAATAATCTCTGAGCAGCATTTTTTACTGATGTGTGTTCTTAGGAAATATGGAGAGCACTTACTGCAGACATCAGTCCTCCATCCCTGCAGCTGGATTCCTTTTTCAGCACAAGCTCTCATATAGGCAGAGAGAGCTGCACACAGACAGTCCTCACTGTTTTCACAGTTACATGTGTCAAACATGCAGTTCTAAGAATGGAGAGAAAAATAAGGTCCCAGCACTGGTAATATTGTCAGTCTTTAAAAAAACAGTGAACTTTAAAGTCTAATTCCTTAATCTTTCTTCAGATATGCTCACTCATAGACAACAGTAATCTTTAAAAAATAGTGAACTTTATCTTTCAAGTCTAATTCCTTAATCTTTCTTCAGATATGCTCACTCATAGACAACAGTAACACAGCTTTATCACTTTCTAGTCTTTGTCTAAGGTTCCTGGCAGGGGAAAATGCAGGTAATGAAAATCCAGTCAATTACTACAGTTATAATTAGGAAATAGTGGTCTTAAAGTCTGTTATACATTTTGCAGCTTCTTGGTCCTCTGAACCTTTTTAGTGGATATGCTGCACAACAGCACCCAAATCTCTTTCACAATGGTAATGGGCTTTCTGTTCCAAGCAGTTATTAATGGCTCTTTCACAACGTGCAGTCCAGACGCCCCATTTCACCAGCGTCAACACCTGGGTGACTCCTAGTGAGAAGAGTGGTTTGCAACACGTTGATAGTAGAGTGATGGTAATTAGGTAATGGGCTTTCTGTTCCAAGCAGTTATTAATGAGATGCCAGGCTGATAAGGTAACAATTGACTGATATGCAAACAAGCATTTGACAAGCCTTTAAATACACTATCTGGCTTATGTGTAAAACCACCCGGGAGTAAATAGCCGCCTTTTCATCGGCAAACAAGTCAGGATCTCGAAGCCAAGACTGACAACCAAAATAAAGCAATGTTGCAACACAAAGAGAAACACATGCTGAAAGAAGGAAGTACTGCAGTACAGCAACGGGGATACAGGCATTGCCTAAGACACGTCTGGAACAGCTCCTATTTCTATTGTTTCCAAAGGGAAAAGCAGTCGGGCAAAGTACCGTGTGGTAAACAGCAGGATTCACTGCATAGTGACAAGCAGCAAAAGGTCCTGTGCTGTCAGTGAGCAGTCCACACCAATGCTGAGCGTATTTTTCTGTGAAATGAAGACACAATAAAAATGCATATTACTCTTTGTACTTCATCAGTCACAAACCCATGCTTGCCCTGGCCTAAGCAGACAGTTCTGGCATTTCCATTAAATCTCTTCTTCTCCTGTCTTTTTTCTTTTTTTTTTCCCACTCAGCTTGTGGGTCGTGGTTCCTAAAACCAAAGCAGAGGACTTGCTGAAGGAGATGAATTAAAGGTTTCCAAAGATGCTCCTGTAATCCACGTCTCTGACACCAAGCTGTCAGCTTGGACATCTACTCTATTTTCACTGACCTTGCAGTTTGCTTCACTTATGCTTCTGTCACTCTTTTTTTACATTGTTGGTTATCTTCAGTGCGTTCATTTTGAATATTTGTTTCTGATTTCAGATGTAAGTTTTTATCAAATATTTAAGTTTTTATTTTTTTATCTTTGCTTTCCAACAGATGTGTTTTCCTTAGAGATTAGCAAAAAGAAAAAAACAAGCCAGAAGAAATTCTAAGAAGCACTCACCATTATCAATGCTGAGTGCACAAGGATTCTCAAAACTCTGCTGGATATTAGGGCATGAAGCCTGAGTTTTCCATGTGTTAGCAAATGCTGATGCTGTTCCTTCAATTATTCCACTTATGACCTTGAAGTCATCAGTTTGGATGTTATTGAAATTTCCACAGAGACCTGTTGAAAAGGAGTGAAAAGTTTACACTGCTCTGACTACAAAAAAAGACATTGATCAAGGAGTCCTTTATTTCATTCACTCACCACAAGTGTGGTTTTTGAAAGAAGCATCCAGACGCACAAACACTTGCATCACGGGTGTGAACTGCACCTCAACCTGGACCCCAAAGCTTGTGTCCATGATCATGAAGAATGAGGAAGGTCTGAACATGGTGACATTAGCTACACAATGAGAAACAAAATGGTCACTTTCTGAACAAGGCCAAATGCTGAAAACACAATACTGTTCTTTTTTAATTTCTATTGTATTTTTTGCAAATTCAGAAGTGAAATAAAGATCTGGAGGTCAGAGATATCACATGGAATCCTTAGTTATTGAAACAAAAATAAAATTTATTTCTAAGCAAGTGTGAGCACAGGGGTAGTAACAAAAAAAGATGTAAAAGAGGTAAAGAGATGTCTTCTGCCTTCACTTTTATGCAGTGAGAAGGAAGTAAATCTGAGAGTAATCAAATCAGGAGACTGTAAATTCTGTTTGCTACTGTTTGAACCCTTGCCTGTGTTTGTCCAGCATGACACCAAACATCCCACTTTACTTCAAAAGCATTCGTGTAATTTACTGTTAGAGGGAAAAACTACCTGCTGACATGGGCAGCTGGGTGTAGATGGAGTTCACAAACACACCGCCATCAGGTTTGACCTCCACGATCTGACAAGGAAGAGGAGCAAAATGTGAATCCTCTAATGGTTTGGCTTGGGAGGGACTGTTAAAGGTCATCCAATTCCAAACCCCCTGCTGTGGGACACCTTCCACTAGGCCAGGTTGCTCAAAGCCCCATCCAACCTGGCCTGAACACTTACAGGGATGGCACACCCACAGAATCTCTCAGCAACTAGTCCCAGTGTTTCACCACCCTCATGGTAAGGAATTTCTTCCCAATATCTAATCTAAACATGCCCCTTTCAGTTTGAAGCTATTCCCCTTTGTCACATGACCTTGTGCCCTAGGTTGTAGGCTCATTTTAAGGACTAAAAGTCTCTCCAGAGCTTTCCCTTCTCCAGGCTGAACAACCCCAACTCTCTCAGCCTTTCCTGACAGGAAAAGTGCTCCAGCCCTGTGTTAGTCTTTGTGGCCTCCTCTGGACCTGTTCCCACAGGTCCATGTTCTTCTTATGATGGGGAGCCCAGGCTGGCCTTCTGGGCTGCCAACCATGTGTGAAAAATAACTATAGCCTAAAGAGTAATAATGAAGAGGACCCCAGTGATATTAATTAAACCAATATTCAATAAAAAGGTAGATCTTTGTGATTTCACTTCCCATTTATTTCTACTTCGTACACTTTACTAATTTTCCCTGCCAGAAAAGAATTACTTTTAAAGGGACTTTTTCAGCTTTTTAGGGGATTACATTATCTTGTTTTCTTTGAACACATCTTAGTGATTAATTACCTCACAAACTGTTGTAATCATAATTACTAACCTTGAAGCTCATGGTCTTTTCTCATCTAATTGGCAGAGAAAATAGCTTTTTTCTGCTTTGTGAGTACAATGTGTTTCTTAATGAAATCCACAAAGCCAAATTTATGGCTGATCTGATTTTCCTAACAAAATCCACTTCTTTTCACTTGATTAAAAATATCATCTACTCATCATACATATGCTGAAAACCTGACAGAGAAATGCAGCTGCCTCACTGATTAAGCCCTAGTTTCTTCCCTCCCTGCATTTTTATTGTGCTTATTTTGCATGCTTACAGTTTGTCCTTTATTCATGTTGAGGGTCACTGACTTCAGGCAGGTCTCGGTGTCGGTCAGGCCACACTTGCGTAGTTCTGCCAGGATGGTAAATTTTTCATCTTTACAGTCCTGAAAAAAAAAAAGTCAGGTTATTTCACAGAAGACTAATTACAGAAGTTTTCCCTATAAAATTTTCTCTCAGTTCTGAAGAAGTATTTATTTTTCTGGAGAAGATACAGACTGTAGCAAATTCCAGAGCTTCTTTGGCTGAAGATTCAATTTTTCCCTGTTTGAATTATTAGGAACAAGAAATGTAGAATCAGGATTTTATTGATTGTATCCATATGGATGTCAAGATGGAGATCCATATTCATATTTGGTGGTTTTATCCATGACAACTTCCAATGTTTGATTCAATTCTATTGTAACTCTCTGTAGCTGGTATCAATGCTAGACAAAAATTTCTGATAAAATATGTTTTAGGTGAACAGTAACATACAACATTTTATTTCCATATACTGAATGGTGCAGATGGGGAAAAAGGAAAGCAAACAACAAACAGAAAAAGCCCCAAAAAGATCAAAATATTTCACCTACACATCTGTAATTAAATATTTTAATTATAATTAATTTCCAAATTTCCTGTTTATTTTGAGTTATTTTTAAATGTTTAAAAACATTTAAAACAAAAACATTTAAAAGCTAAGTGGAATGCAATTAACTTGAAGTGTTTTTCTGTATTTAAACTCCACAAAAATAAAAAAAAAGGCTGGTTTGTAATCTTTATTTTTAAGAACAGTTACTGTAATTTTTAGAGTTGTACCATTTGTCCAAATACCTTGGAGTAACATGGCAAAAATTATGCAACCCAGTAAGAGAGCTAGATTAGCTGTACTGAAGGTTGCACACTAGGCAAATTCTTAAAAAGACAGTGCTCTTCAATTACTCTCTCACAGAACTGGAAATTTTCCAGTGAGCAGCACACACGGTTACATGACATCCTAATAATTACCTGATGATTGTCAGTGAAATGGCAGCTAGCAAACATCTGGCTAAGTTGCAGGGAATTTGATGTCTGTATTCCGAAGTGTTAAGTTTAGTAAGTGTTTTCTTTCTATAAATCTATAAGGCTTTATGACCTAGAAGTACCCTCTGAGTCCCACCTTAGAGAGGACGTAGATGCAGTCTCCGTGGTGATCATAGTGCTTCTTATCATATGTGGAAATGTGGGAGCCTCCCACGACAGAGCACGTTCCTGGGCATGACTTGTCTTGGCAGCTCCACTGGCCTCCATTACAGGTGCTGGAAGAATAGAGTTAGGTAAAATCAGTAAGAGTGGTCCAGAACAAGAGGACGTACAGTGCTGTTAGGTGCAGCTGCTTTGCTATTGCTTTTCCCTTCAAGCTGTGGTTTGACACACAGGTTTAAGAGTTTCCAAGTGCGGCGAACTTGTGATGCAACGTATTAAAATCAATTTCTCTGGTAACCATTCTCATTTCTTATCTAATTGGTTTCCTTCTTTGGATAGGTGAACTCTCCAAAACAGATTTGGATAAATAATTGTGTGGCTTTTTTCAGGTAACATAAAGTACAACGACAAGTTAAAATATCTTCTGGGTGGTTTTGTTGTTTTGTTGGGTTTTTTTGGGGGTTTTTTTGTTTTTGGTTTTTTTTTTTTTGTAATACAAATGTATCATGGACTAATAAAAAAGGTAACTCCACATCTGCTCCTGATGCAGACTGTGTCTATTTTCAAAGCTGATGTGGTAGAGCACAGGTACAGGATTAATAATTGTGAAATCGAGCTTGTATTGTGTCATCCCTTGCTTTCTCCAGAGAAAATAAATATTTGCAAATACATTAATGACTATAACTTCATTCCCCTCAGAGAATTCCAAATGTTTGAACAAAATAAACAAAGAGGAAGCATTTTAATTGATTGATGAGAAATCTAAACATTGTAAATCCTTGCTTTGATCACCATGAGATAGAGTGCAAAGCTAGTGATGGCTGTTGCTAAATAAAACAAATAATGTTCTTTAGGGGTGCTTTGGAAATGTAGCAGTCAGTTAAATACACACATCAATTACCAGTGATGCAATTGCATATAATAAACTATTAAACCCATCGAATATATGAGAGGAAATAGTGAGTTAAAAAAGTAACATAGGTTACCAGGTCTGGCATGGCTCTGAAAAAGAAGCTCCCGTAGCATAGGTTTTGCCATTGTAAATACAGGAGCACTCCTGCTGGGGAATGCAGCCAGAGTTGTTGATGTCATCAAATACAGTCCCTAAATTAAAAAAAAAAGACAAAACCTTGATCAATTAAAGACACATTTCCTATACACCATTTTATTTGTTATGAATCCTAAATATTTTCTTAACAAGAGATCTGCAATTGTTGTGAGTGGACACAGCAATGCTGAGGACAGCAGGACTGTGTCAGACTGCTGAGGGAAGGATTCAACCTTTGTATTCTTAAATTCCACCTGCTCTGAAAGAGGGACTTGTAGCATAGGTGGCTGGTTGAAAGATTAGTCTTGATCTCGTTGCTGTTCTTGTTTCCTGCTTTCTGAATATTGCACATGTGTTGGCAATTAATTCACACATCTTTTCTCAGCTGACACTTGACAAACACTTGTCACTTGCAGCTGTGAAAAATACAACTACACGAGGCTTAAATCCCATAGAACCTACAGGTAAGCTCTTGTTCCTTGAGATCAGAGATGTGAGTACTTAAGGACTTGCCTGGGGGGCAGAAACAGCCATCAATACAGTGTTCTTCACAAAACAGAGATCGTTCAGGATTCGTGCATGTATCAGTACAGGGGGAGTTGCACTCCTGGTACTGCATGTTGTAAGGACACTTCTTGGCTGAAATTTAAAGGAAGAGATTTTTTTTAGTCAAAAGCATTTCTAGTTCTCTATACATGTAAATATTTATATCCATTTAAGTTTGTAAACTAGATAAAAAAACCAAACAAACAACATAAAAAAAAAACACATCAAACTGCAATTGACCACTAGCTCTCAAAAATTGCAACTTTAACCACCTAAATCCCTATTTTACAGTTGAGATGTGCATTCTATGACTCTGGTGCTGAACTGGCTCAATGACTGATTTCTGGGGACAGCAAGGTAACAACCTCAGAAAGCCAGCAAGGTCTGTTTCTACAGGCTCCCTTCCCTATGAACACCTGTACTGCTAGTGAAACGGAAGACTTAAGTTCCTAAAGCTTTAGTATATTTGCATTTTGAGATACCATCAGAAGGACAAATAGCACCTCATGGGCTTTTGTTTTGGAGCAAATGCTGGTGACACTATCAACAGCTACCCCATAATCAAGTATATGTCTAAATCAATACAAACTCATCACTATCAAGCAAGAGGAGATAAATAGGTGATTAGTTAGACATACACCTGTGAAGATCCAATCAGTTAACTGAGAACACCAAGTGCTAGCGCCATCACGAGGAAAAGAATCAGGAATACAAGCAAGCAAGTAAGCATGCCTCAATCTTCCTTCTTGTTTTTCCTTTATTTGCTTCCTTTACTGTACCGGTTCATTAAATTACACTTTGGTTCTCATTAGAGTACCCATGATAGTGTTTTGGTAGTGTTTAATTCAGTTTGCATTAAAATCCTTAGCTCTTTTGCTGAAGTCTTCATGCTGGAACTTATACATCAGAATTTTCTAAAGGATTCAGTCGTGAACAGGCTGTAACTCCTCCTGCATCCTCAGCATTATTTGAGAGCTTGTTTGTTAGTTACTGAGCATGAAGCAGGGCTGTCTCCAGTGATACTCACGGCACAGTTTTGAAGTTCTCCAGTCCAGGGGCTGCCCACCAGCATGAGCACACTGCCGGGAGTACTCAGCGAAGGTGTCACAGATGCATGTGCTGTTTTCAGATTCTGCAGAGCGGCACAAGTCATTTTGGCAAATCTTGATGTAGTCTTCAACATCAACTAGGTCATTACAGTCTGCAAACGCAGAGCTGGTCAATGTTTTCTCACAAATGTCATCCTTTGGAGGAAAAAAAAAAGTAGACAAATCTCAGTAAATAGAAAGAAGTTGGGGGGTTGGTATTGTTATTTTTTTGTAATTATTATGTAACATAATTTTATAGCTCTCTTTAAGTTGTTGTTGCCTGAGAGCTTTTGCTATTGGCCTGTATGAAGTTGTAGAAGGGAATGGATAAATTTGAAAGAAAAACAAAAGGAAAGTCAAAAGATCCTTACAAGATTATCAGAGCAGTTATATGTCGGGATAGAAGTGGAGTCTTCACAGTGTTCTGTTGGCCCATCCATTTTCTGCATATTCCCAAACTGCAAGGCTGTCATCTTAATATCTGTAGAAAAGAAGTTTAATAATGAAGATCAGAGGTTTTTGTTCAAAACAATTGCCTGTTATCTTTTTTTTCTCTCAAGAATTTGGGCCAAGGCTGGCCAAGACAGTCAGCTCCCTTAAGCTAAATGTGATCATCGCCTCTTCCAAAAGAAGCACTACATCACTACCTCAACTTACCTTGTACAGCACCCTGGAAAAAGCAAACATTGGAAAACAATTCTCAGCCTATTACATCTAGATTTTATTACACTAAGATTTTTCCCAGAAAAATAACAAACTGTTTTCAGATCATATTGAGCCCATTCAGGGCAGAGGAAAAAAAAAATCTAAATGGGAATTTGGAGAACGGAGATTGTTGTAAGACAAGGTTTAGGAAAATGTTCAAGCTGGGAATAGTTAAAAAGATAAGATCTTACAAAGACTATACAAATCAACAGGAAAATGTGGATATACGGATTTTGAGACAAAAATGAAACTAGAAATGTACTGTCTAGAAAATATAATTGCCTTTTGTTTTATTGAATATATTCTATATTTAATTGTCTTATTAGTGAAAATCTGCTCATTTTTATGGAGTTACCTGATTAGTTTTACCAGCATGGTTTACAACAGTGGCAAGAAAGAGATGCAATCATTTGTTAGCATCAGTACCATATTTACACTCAAAGCATTAATTTACATAATCTGATCTCTCTACTACATATTTTTAAATGGAGATTGAATCATATCTTATGGGTAAACCATTTGACAGGATGGGAAAGAGGAATGCTGATGATGTCAGCCTGTTTGAGATCCTATAAACCTTTTTTTTTTAAATTTAAAACACTTACTGTTTGAAATGAACTCATTGTATATGGGAAAGCCATTGAAGTCACCACAAAGTCCACATGTCTGATTGGCATATTTCTCATTCAATTCCAGCTAAAATGATGAATAGCAAGTTGACAGAAGTTAGTATAAATATTCTAAAGTATATTCAAGACCAGAGAAAACAGTTGCATCTGCTGTCTCTCAGTATATCTTGTCAGATCTGTGGAATTTTACTTAGCAATTTAATTCAAGCATGCATGATAGAATAAAGACAGCTTAGATTTGACTGCAGAGTCCAAGCTATTGATACTATTGACACACACTTCAAATTTCACTGTACTACCTATACTATCCTTAGCCACTGTATATTGATTCTTCAGAAAGAAAATCAAATCCACAGAAAAAAAATGAAGGCATAGGAGAGTGAAATTCTGCTAAAAAATATATTTGAAGGGGTAATTAGGCTCTATAATAATACCAATAGCTAATGATACAATGAAAGTGATTTTTTCATCCTGTTTTAAGCAAATGCTTGCCATCCACTAGGTATAAATCCATGTAATTTTCTTTAGGACTACCTGGATGCAAGTCTCTCTTTACTAAGAAAGAATTGCTCAACAGTGTGAGATAATAAGGCAATAGCAATCCCCATAACAGGTAGAGCCAGGCCTAATCAAAGATTAGCTCTGTTCTCTGAAGGGGTAAACAGGTCCAGGAGCAGTTCTTACCAGAATGCTGTCCTTTTCATTCCACAATAACACAACACCGATTTTGCTGCCAACTTTCACATAAATGCTGCTCTTCTCTATCGTAATACCAGATTGACTATATGGCAGCTGAACTCTGGGAAAAGGCAGAAAGAATGCTAGTTAGCTTCTGACCCAAATGTTTGATAAGAAGAAGGGAAAGTCTTGTGGTGTCCACCATCTGTAGGAATGCAAAAATAGTGTATTTTTGGGAAAGAAAAGCAATTACAGAATAAGATGGTCCAGCGTTATCAAATATGGAAGTAAATTTGGATTCAGCTTCTCAGAACATTTAATCCAAATTTTATTTTTGAGGCAATCCTTAACGGAAGGATTTATTTTCTATGACATGAATTAATAGCATTTTATTCATTATTTATGTTGGTAAAATTGTCAGATCTATTAAAGAATACATAATTGTTCTCCCTCCCCGCAAAGACACCAAAATACTTGGCAAAGATTGGGGACAAAAAGCCTGTGGATAACTAAGAAGTGTTATGAGTGAACTTACCTGTTGCCATCGACCATGACAGCATCTTTTGTTAGTTCAGCAACAACACCTTCGATTTTCATGGTGATGTGGTTGATTGTTGGAGTGTTTGCCACCACTTCACGCCTAATCTGGATGTTGAAATCCTCATAGGGAGCGTTGCAGTGGGAGGCAAAAACGTAATTACAGAGCCCAGGGAAGGTGAATATGTCCCCGTCGAAGGTCTTGAAGTGGAAGTTGCCCCATGTGCTGCACACACGGCCATTGTGAGCAGGATTAGCAGCTGTGAATTAAGACTGGCTGTTAAAAATTACTTTGAATCCCCAGACTCCACTTGGGGAAAATCAACTTGTCCAAAGCTTCATTTTCTCACTAAGTGTTTTTTGCCTGCCTAGCTCCATTTGCTGTTTTCTATCTAACCACTATACAGCTGTGTATGCATTCATCACTCATATCTCTTACACATACCCTGCAAATGGTTACAGTTATGTTCAGCTAGAGCTCAATTAGTCACCTTCACTTCAGCTAAGACAACAGTTTATTTCTAATCACCATGTTTCTCTTCTGAATTATCCATGGCTTCCTTTATCAGTACCTTTCCCCACCTATATTAAAGTCTCCTGTCTATACCCATTAAAACTGAACACTTACTGAATACCTTAGTTTCCTTTACTTACGTGTTATTGCTAGATTTGTTAGCAGTGGTGAGAAGACGTTGAAGTTATCTGAGATTTTGATTGAAGCTAGAAAAGAAATAAGAAAGAAATCAAAAATTAGCATTACAATACCTAAATTTGCATGTAGGATACACACAGGAAGGACTAGAGAGTTAATATGCCAGACCCAAGGAAACAATGTTAAGCCTGTTTTATTTTACACAGGTTAAAATTAGACAGTAAAATTTGAACTCAGAATACTTAAGTCATAAGAAAATTGCTTTCAGCTGTGATGTTCTGCATTTGCTACACATTAACCTTGACCTTTTTATGAAATTGTGCTTTATTAGAATATTAGAATTCTTCAGAGACATAGAACAATACAAAGGGCTAAGCTGTACTAAATTAGCCTCTTACTACTACAAAAGCAAAGCTGCCTTCTCATTACACCTCTTCTTTCTAAGGAGGGAATAAAAACCTTAATTATCACCTTTTCTCTGTTTTATATTTTTCTATTAAGGGGCTGAAAACTCTTCCAAATGGCCCCACATTGGTTGTACAGGACAGACACAAATCATTACATGGTAAAAGTCAGCGAGGATGGGTTGCCTTCTTGGTTTCAGCATCAGCCACTGATTTCACAGCAGGCCCAAGTGGTCTCACTTCCTTTTTTTAAAAGGAACCAAGCATCACTTTGGTTTTACATGTACATGTTCATGCAGATATGCATACAGCCTCTACAAACACATCTGTTTTCTTAGTTAACTATTATTATACAAATATAGCCATACTGTGTAATATGTGTGTGTGAATTTAGCAACTGGTGTCTAGTAAATATATTGCTCATCTTAGAGAGAGATGTTAATAAACATTTCTTTTCATCTGGCACCACTGGCAATATGCTAAGCAGGGGTTTTTTTAAGGCATTTTTATTATTCAGTATGGATGTAGCAAATAAAACAACTGGTGTCTAGTAAATATATTGTTCATCTTAGAGAGAGATATTAATAAACATTTCTTTTCATCTGGCACAACTGGCAATATGCTAAGCAGGGGGTTTTTTTAAGGCATTTTTATTATTCAGTATGGATGTAGCAAATAAATACAAATATACAGTATAAATAAATGTACCATTCTGTAGAAGACTCCCAGACAACTGACTTCCAGTTTGACCTCCTGTGAAAAAATTGTGAAAAGCATATTAAGAATAATATTCTGTACCTGAACTTTTAAAGCAAAGCATTTAGCTAAGATCAAAGGACCCAGATACAACCCTGTAAAACACAGGGGAGAGTCTCCTTTATCTTATCAGAGAAAATGAAACAGGCTCCTCAAGAAAGCTAAAATGTTATTATAGAAAGAGACATTCTATTACAAATACTCAAATCTTCTAACCCAAATAACAAATGTATTTTGTAATATGCTTTACAACATATTGTAATCCAAATAACACATATCTGCTTTCTTTGTTTCTCTCAAAACTCACTGAAAGATATTCTTATAATGGGATAACACCCCTTATTTCACTGCTGCACTAGATCTCAGTAATATGTGAGACAATACAGGAGGAATTCACAAAATGCAGGTGAGTCATTTATTAAAATTGTTGTGTAGAAGCCAGGTTACAAGAAAAAGCATGGAAGTGGTTAAAAGAATTAAGGGGCTTCAAGCTTCATCCAATAATGGCTGCAGATATTTATGAGTTTCTTTAGTGCCTAAGCATAGGGCCTTTTCTCAGGGAGCAGATGGGAAGCGTCCAATATGGATCTAGGTTTGCTCTACAGCTGGGTACAAGCAGGAACCTCTGAGGGACAGTACAAGGGCCACAGCCTGAGCAGTAACCCAGAAGTAATCTCATGAACCAGGTTTCCTGTTCTACCCATCTACTCACTCAAAGACCATTCAAACTCGCCTCTGCAGAAAACTTTAAGCATCGTGCTACAAAGCTATTTGACCAAGGGTTCTTGCTACAACACCTGAAGCAAAGACCTTTGAGAGCTGACAAATATTCTCTGGAATGCTTTGATTCCTAGAAAAAGACTGACCCTGACCTCCTGGGTTGACATTCTAAGATCTTGTATTTTATAAGTAAATATATCAGGCATTTCCTGTAAAAATTGAAGGGTTGCCACTTTATTTTGTGAAGGACTGAATGCACTGAGGATGTGATAACTGTGCTTGTAGCAGATTGACTAATAGGTACCTTTAACCTGCCAAGTCTAAATCCTCACAGGATTAAAGTGATGAAATGACTAATATCTGAATCCTTACCTGGATTATGTGAATGAGCACTGTAGGTGTCTAGTGAATTTCTCAGTCAAAGCAGAACTGCCTATGGAGTTTTCCCTAAGTTAGACCCCCTTTTCCTTATACAATAGGTGAGAAGAGTTCACAAAGAGAGCCCCAAGAGATTACTGGCATTGCAGCAGAGGGTTCTGGGCAACCCCTCCATAGCTAGAAGTTGCTGCAGTGTATGCAGTTTCTTTCAGCTCAAAGCTTTTAATTCTTTTCTCATTTTACTTTGTGCTAGACTGCTAGTGATTTGCAAAGAACTAACGTGGGACAGAGTTCAACCATTTTCCATTTCCTGCCCATCTTTGAGTATCATAGATAATAATATTAAGTAAATGTTTTCACATCATTATAATTTATACTGATTATAATTTATGAAAATATAATTGGTGAAAAAATTGATACAGATCAGGTAAGAGAAATACCTCTTTAACTCTACATAATAGGCTGAAGTTTGCTTTCACATAACATATCCATAGGAATCTCGGCAGGCATAGAATCACAGAAGGTTTGTTTATTCTAGTGCAGGAACCTTTGTAACACAGCAAAATAGATCTATATATGTATTTTGTTCTGTTAATTTTTCTCAAGGAAACAGCAGGAGCCTTTGTTTACTTAGCAAATACATCATTCCCAAGGAAATTCTACCTGCAGTGGTTTGTTTAGCAATTACACAATGCCACGTTGTTTACTGTGATAAAAATAAGTTTCTCTCGTTTGTAAGAAATTTACTCTTTGATAATGTGGAAACTAACCTAATGATTACGAATTTTTGGATGCATCCTGGAAAGTCTATGTCCATCTGGTAATTATTGTTGTCACCAGTTTATAAAAGTTAATATTTGACACAAAATATAAAGGCAGTTACACAATGTTTGAGGAGATGGCATGGGATGGGACCATTATTCTTTAGTCCGGATATCGGAAAATATTTCCCACAAGGTGTGTTTCAAATAAAGAGGTGCTTGCTGGGCACTGTCTAATCACCACTCATTTGTCAAAGCAGGTTATCAGATTAGCACTGCACAGGAGAAATAACTTTCTTGTTCCATGAAGGGCTGAAAACACTTCTGACCGACACTGCGTAACTCCAAACAGAAGTTTGTACTCTATGAGATCGGTGTGTTTTCAAGCACAATATAGATCAGCTGGCCAGTGATTTAGTGTTTATTTCACAAACTATAAAGCAGCCTTAAATTATATTTGCACTTCTCAATATTTTGAAAATGATATGCAAGATAAATTTACCTAGGCAATCTGCAGATCTTAAAATGTCAGCTGACAGGCCAGAAATTACTGTACATGAACAGGACTGACTTCCAAGCTTGTACCTCCTGCAAGTAGCTCAAATTTAATTGGTCCCATCAACTTAACAGGGCTCCTCATAATAATAAAAACTGCCAAGACCAGCACTGATGACTATAATACTGACAGGTAAAAAAACCCATCCAAAATAACAGATTGTTGTGTCCCTGTCCTGCTCATACTCAATATCTGTAATTTATATAAGTATTTTGCATAGGGTATTATAAATTAGTTACTGCACAATTAGTTACTGAAAATCCCTGCCATATGAATATTCCCTCCTGGTTTCTTTTGCAAAAGAAGTTGCAAAAAATGTTGAAAAACCTGGTGTTAGCCCCTGGTAGGTGACAAAATATTGAAAAAGATTGACCAGTGGTCTGATCTAGCTACTGGAAAATGCAGTGGTTTATATTTCATAAGAACCATAACATTCATAAGGAATTATAATACAAAATGCAACAGGAATAAAATGCTTTTTTAAGGCATATGGGACACTAAAAATCTGACATTTTAAGACATGAATAAGAGGTTTTTTTGGATTTGATCTTCAAGGCTACTTTCCATATGTAGTTATATACAGAAGTTTGAGGCAATATTAAATTGGTCCAGTTAATAGATAGACATTTAAAATGAAAATATATAAAGAAATTTTGTCAGCCATCTCTTATATGAATCAATTAGTATAGATGTTTAAAATATATTACTAGGTCTAAACAGAGTATTGTTTCTTTTCCCAATTAAAAAAAGAAAATTTCTTACCTATTTGATGGATACAGCAAACTGCTAACAGGAAAGCCCATTCTGGTAGCAATATCCCCCTGCCAAACCCCATCTTGAGTGGAGTTTGGCACAAGGATGTTGGGTCTAAACTTGATCAGGACTGCAGTTCACCTGTGCTTTGTCGCTCTTATATAGCAGGTGACTTTGGCTTCAGTCCCAGATTGATTCAGAGAGTGTAGAAAGGTGAGGTTTGGGGGATTTTAGCTATTGAACAGGTAAACAGAGGATGCTCTTCCTTCCTCAGAACTGGCCACTATTTGCATTTTGGGAGGAGTAAATACATTTACGTATGTACATTTTAAGATTCTATCCACTAAAGAAGTGATTGCAAATAAAATGCAACTCCTCCTCCACAAATAACAGGTCCTGGAACAAATTTAATTTGGTGTTGCTTTACAGTTATGCAGATGGATGGCAAGTATCTGTTCCAAGTTTTTCAGTAATACAATTGATGCCAGGAAACTTCTTGGCAAAAAAACCCCACTGATTTCTGAAATTTGTGGAATATTTAATATGTGGGGACCCAGCATCGAGAAGTCCCTCTATGCTTATTGGGGCAGCTAATCTTCTTGTAAAAAGAACAGAATAATAACCTTGAAGGGTGCTGCAGTCTCATGTGGCCACTCTGAGTGTGTGCCATGGAAACCCCCGTGTGTGGCACTCACAGGCATCAGGCACCCAGATGAGAAAGACTCACTCACACCTATCCTGCATTTGTTAGAGGTGGCCTTAAACCTTAAAATCTACTTTTCAGTTCTCTGGTTTTGTCTTCTCATAGAAAACATCAGGAGCCAGCCAGCCAGCCAGTCTCGTGGCAGCTTTCTAGGACTAAAAAGATTGATTATAGTCTGTGATCATGATTACATTGTTTCAGAATCATTCTTGTTTAATTCCGTTCACATCCACAGAGCTATGAGAACTACAAATTAGTGAAACAGGCAATGAATCAAGGGTATAAGGCTTGCCAGTAAAGGTTTAACACACCTTTTTTTTTCCCTGAGCATTGCCTTTTTGCAGTTTTACTGGGCAATCATTTCAAAAGCAGGAACAAATGCATACTACAATAAGTGCAGACAGTATTTCTACTTCTTGTCACTTTATCTTTTTTAGCTTGGCATTGGAGGTTGGATGAGTTACTCCAGGCAGATTTCTGTCTATTTCCTAGGTCAATGGATCTTACTTTAATAGTAAAAGATGGACAAAACTATTCAAAGTTACTGAAACAATTCTGTCAAACTGCTAGGTTTGGCAAAAACAATTTCCAGTCCAGCACTTGGTATATACATCATTTTTCCTCAATTCACCTCAGCTTTAGCCTCCTCACAGTTTTCCAGAGTGCAGGTAGCTGATGGATTAAAAAAATCTCCATCATAAAGAATGGAACGAAGGATGCTGCTCAGTGGGGGATTTAGCCAGAAGGATCTGGGAGATATAAATTGGGGTGGGGGAGCCTCAGGAGTAAAGATAAAAAAACCACAAAAACTAGGATATGTGGAGAGGCAGAAAGGAATTTCTTTGGGTAAAATGGGACCGTTTTACCTTCTACATGTCTGTAAGATGCAGTTCAACAATGTCTGCTTGTGTTTATCATTTCTGCTGAAGCAGGGGAAGAACACAACTTCGGGAAGGTGTTCTAATGTAAAATGGGATCACAGCCATAACGTAAGAACCTTGGGTTCTTACCAAAATCCTACCCTGCAATTATACATTTTAAAATATTTCCGTAAAAGAATAGGGGTGTATAATGCAATATTCCATTCAGGAGTTACTGAAATGAATGATGTAATTCTCTTTCCATTTCTTCCAGTTGAACCCCTATTTCCACTTCTGTTTAGCCCTAAAGAGATCAGAGCCTCACATAGTTAGTGCTATAAATGAATTAAAAATAGGGTTTTTTATGGAGTGTTATCTGGATTTGATTTCTGGATTGAAATCAGTGGAAGCGTGCTATGGCAACATTTTGGCCTGCTCTAGTATAAAACATGTTCTCTCTCAAAACGTCCAGGATGTTTAATAAAGTTACATCTTCCTAATCACTAGTAAGCTGTTTACACACTCTAAATCTGTATCTTTATGCTTCAGCAAACCAGGAGAAAAGAAAATACTGCATTTCCTGCCCATAGAACATTGTTTTATTCTGTGCCAGTACTCATAATGAATATAAATTCATCTGTACATAAAGAAAGCAAATGGTTTCTTGTTTACGTGACCAGCTAGCTGTATTAAACAAATATACTCTAGTCTCACTTACACAATTAGACAAGCCACCCAACAAACTTGGCTTTCAGCAACCATCGTGCATGTGCCTTTAGCAGTAGGCTGTTTGTGATGGTTAGGAGGAGCAGAGCTTGCCTCCCTTCTCAGTTACACCCACCTCTGCACGAGGGAATTAACAGAAAGTCAGGATCTTCCTGTGCTGCTTTGAAACATGCGGAGAGAGTTTCTTGTTTTCCACTGGCTGTGTAAGAGCAAGGCAATACTGATAAAGGGATGAGCTTTCTGAGGGGCAATCAATGCTTTTCATACTCATCTGGTAAAGGTGATGAAGATGTCCATACCTAGGATGATTAGGAGTGTCAGTGGTGTCAGGGCTGCTTTCTCTTTTGCCCTGTCTCTTTTAACGGAACTGTTGCTAGGCAGAATGCTAATATCAAACACTTCCTCTCTTTTTCTAAGATAGTTTTTAATTTTAGCTCTAATAACTCTTTTTGACCAAAGCAATGCATGTCAGACTTCAATATGTTATTCCACAAAGCATTTAGCAGTGCACAGTTGTTGTTCAGAAGGCTGTCCCAGTTCTACTCAAAGGTGTTCTTCAAAAGATATTCTCCAGGAATTTTGCTCAAACCTTTCTATGTTCTGGAGTTGGTTTGATTGCTACTGCTCAGTCTGAGTCTGAGATTTTTGATCTCTAGGGATGGTCAGACATGTTCCAGTATTCAGCTTATTCAACCTTACAGCCTCTCTCTTCCTCCCTCTTCACCCCAAGGAGTGGATGAAATTGTTAATAACATTAACAGGTGCAGAAGAAATTCACAGAATTCACATCGTGACTAGGTTGGAAGAGACCTTCAATATCATTGAGTCCAACCCAAATTCAGGTCACTCTGTTAGGTGGCTTATGAAATTTTGAAAGCTATAAGTTGGTTTTTTTTTGTTTTTTAACAGTTGCTAGGGGAATTACATCTGTAGATGAAAGTATCACAAAAATTACAAGGATTTAAGCAAACATGTTCATTGGTTACAAGAACTGCTTCAAGTGTTTCACAGAGATTAAAAAACAGTTGTTCAAGGACTTCTCAGTTTCCCAGATAACAGTGAAAAGAGTTTACATAGGAGCAAGCTCTCACCTTCTGTTGTATGGGGGAAAGAAACTCCAGAACCAAGTTTTGAAGTGCTTTAATAACAGAAAATTAGCAGCTGTTTTTCTGTTAACTTGTATCAGGAATATGCCAAGGGACCACAGTTTTTGGTTTTGGCTGGCACTAAAACAAAGTACTTTCATTTCCAAGAGGAAATTTTCAAGGAAATGTCAAAGGCATTATTTATTTATTTAGTGCATTTTTTTCTGTTTTTCTCAGTTTTAACATGTGTAAAAACCAAAAGCTTGTCTTGACATCTCAGTATTAATTCTATGGCAATTATTTCAGGATAGATCTGTAGAGATGACAGACACCAGTTATTGGAAAATTATTGGAAGTCATTGGAAGTTGACTGCAACAGCCAAGGATATGGCTGACAAATACTCTTCTCTCATTTTGGTCTCGTTTCAAAAATCTGTACCAATGGATTAATCACTAAAAGTACCTCTTGTAAAAATCAATCAAATAATTCTGAGGATGGATATAACATCTCCAATTTTACCTTTTTTTCTTGCTTTCTCGCACAGAAGTAGGAGCAAAACTTGTGACATTGACTGTACTGGTTTAATCTAAAATTGCAAATGCCAGATAAAACTTCAGTATCATATATACTATAAATACCATAATTACAACCTGAAAGTAGATCATATAACATGAGGGTGGCAAAGGTAAGCATTCAGAATTTAGGTAGTGGTAGTAGTAAGGCTCTTAGGAAAAACCCAGATCATCTGAACACAAATCAAGCCTTTTGTGTTCACATTACAGCTCCTGTAGAGATAAGAACTTGTACCTCCTCACAAGTGAGATAAATCAGAGGCAGCTGGGACAGCGGGTTTTGTGTCTGGCTTGGGTTTGTGCCCAGGCATTGTGCCTCAGATCTGTGAAGCCATTGCTTGCCATGTCAACTGGCAAAATGAAAGAATTGGATTGCTCAGAGAAGAGCCCATTGTGGAGTGGAAAGTAACGTAACATAATGACAGCCTGCAATTAACGTCAACGAAGCTGGTATTAACTTAAGCAGAGGATCCGGCACACCCTTTCCCCAAGCTCTGTAGAGGTTTAGTTGCTGTCCTCAGCTTGTCCTGCTGAAGTTTTCTCACCTGTCTCTGATAGCCTCAGTCATTCTTTCCTTCCATCAGTCTACAGGTTACTCCCCAGGGTTTTACTTTCCAGCCCTTCCCAGGGATTCACTCTCCACCCTTTCTTTCAACGCTCTGTTAACTTCCCCACAATAAATATGTGCACTGCCACTGTGGAAGAAAATGCTGGATGCTCGCTGGCCACGGGCTCCTTTCCCTGGTTCTTAGAATAAATTATACAGTCTGGGTTTTTTTAGTATAACATGGCCCACATCATAGAGGTTTCTCCAGAGAAAACAAGGCTGAAAATCATGTGGAGAGAGAGTTAAACTCTAGCAGTGCATGGCAGATGAGCTCTGTGTTATATACTGTTATCACTTTTTACTTTGCTATAGTAATTTTAGAACTGATTATGCAAGGTACTGTGGAAAGTGGAAGAAAACTTTCTAAGATTGTCTAAATGGGAAAAAAAAGGTGAGAGCTAAGAGCAGTGAAGGTTAGAAATAATTTTTCAGCAGTATTAGCCCATGTACCTTAATTACAGAGTGACACCTTAAGTGTGTGGGTTTGTATTATAGCTTGTCTAGTTCTAACCTCGTGCTGTGGAACACCTTCCACTAGGCCACGTTGCTCAAAGCCCCA